AGAAGGACAAAACAGCTGTATGATGCAGTGTAATTCATTTTGAAATATACTGTATCTATTACCAAATGTTTAAGGTGCAACGGCTGTGTGTGTGTTACGATCATCTTAGAAGATACAAGGTACACGTCCATGTAGTAGACTCTGCTGGTGGATACCACAGTGATCTCGTTTTTTAGTAGTGGCGTGGTTCATAATTTTCACATTATACAAATTGTTTTATTTTAAATTAACCAGCACACCTTTAAAATTTCAAAATTATAAAGTAACGGGTTTTACGCCTCTCCTGTTTCAACAGTGGTTTAGGCCTATTTGTAATTCCAACATTTTGGCCCCTAGCATTATCGATGTGCTCTAGAAGGACAAACTGCTGTAGGATACAGTGTCATTTATCCTCAGCATACTGTATTTAATACCTAATACCTATGTTTGTGTTATAGTCATCTTTCACGAGTTAAGTCAATTAGACATCCGATTCGAGTTCAAACATAAAAGTTCAGTAAGAATTTTTCTTGATACTAATGTCAAAGGGGTATTCATCTGATCGCCACCAGTATGCATTCTAAACGAATTCCATGACTGAAACTACATGAATGAAGAGTTCTATTGAATTATTTATACCCCTTTTCTAGAGACATTTAAAAAAACATGTATATGATCTGCACTAAATAATTTGGTGCATCCTATAACCCAACCTCAGCAGGCAGAGGGTTGAGGAAAACACTCCATGTAAGAGGCTACTAATGTGGAACGCCCTTACAGACTGGGAAATGTGCATTTGTGCCTTCTACTTGGGGACGAATAAGTGACCAAAAGCAAAGCTGCTGCTATTTAACAAAATATGGTTTCTTTGTTTTACAAACCATTAAATTATTGCGCTGAATTCCCAATTGAATAAAATTATCTCAACAATTTATCCTAAATTTACAGTATTTCTTGCGAACAAGTGATGACACTTAGGAGAAAGAAAAACAAGAAACTATATAATTGTCAAGTACTAATATGTTGTACATGTATTGATTACTTATAAAATGAACAACCCAAACATTAAGAGCAGGACCAGGTTTGGGTCGGACATTGGTCATCATCGGTATGGCATAAACGTTTACCGTGTTGTGGTTTCATTATAAATATTTGTGTTTGTTTGTTCGAGTGGTTTACGTCAGCTTCACAGCAGACGAATATAATATTTTGAGTTGGAAGGGTTTATAAAGAGACTATGCCCTATAATTGTCATAAACCGAGCTCCATACGATCATAATCAGCTCAGCTCCATAGACAAACAATGACGTAAGTAAGTGGACAGGTCAGAATGGCTACCAAGGGAGGTTTTGGATTCTCTTTCTTTCATATTAAAGACAAACGAAGGGGAATAGTTTATCGTTTATCCGTTTATCCCAAATTTAACAAAATCCTGTCATTCGTAAAGAAGATGAAAGATTTTGAAGAATATGATATTTTTCCGCTATTGGGCCCCGCCATTCCAGGCCTCAGGGGATCCACACCCACCATTTATACAAAATTGATTTCCCTTCCAAATATGATGCTACTGTTCAAATTTGGTCAAAATACCTTCATCCTCACGAAAGGAGAAAAAAAAAACCAAGCTATTCCTCTATATCACTTAATGGGACCCCGCCTCTGTGCCCCCAGGGGGGTCAGACCCACCGTTTATATAAAATTGCTTCCCCTTCACCCAAAGATGCTTCATACAAAATTTGGACAAATCCTGTCATTCCTCCAGAAGAAAAAGGATTTTGAAGAATTTGCTGTTTCCCCTATTTGGCCCCGCTCCTCAGCGCCCAGGGGGGCCACACTCACTGTTTATATAAAATTTAGTCCCTTTTGTCCAAGGATGCTCCAGACGAAATTGGGATGAAATACCTTAATCCCTATGGTAGAAGAAAGATTTTAAAGGTTTTAACTCTATTTCCCCTATTGGGCCCCGCCCCTCTGCCCAAAGGAGGGCCATACCCACCATTTATACAAAATTAAGTCCCCTTGGCCCAAGGATGCTCCAGACTAAACTAGGATAAAATCCCTTAATCCCTACGGTAGGATAAGGATTTTGAAGGTTTTACCTCTATTTCCAATATTCGGCCCCGCCCCTCTGCCCCAAGGGACCACTATTTATACAAAATTGATTTCCCTTCCAAATATGATGCTAATTCTCAAATTTGGTCAAAATACGTTAATACCAACGGAAGAAGAAGGAAATTAAAGCTATTCCTCTATATCACTTATTGGGCACCGCCTCTCTTCCCCCAAGGGGGTCAGACCCACCGTTTATACAAAATTGCTTCCCCTTCACCAAAGGATGCTTCATACCAAATTTGGACAATATCTTGTCATTCCAACAGAAGATGAAGGATTTTGAAGAATTTGCCATGTTTCCCCTATTTGGCCCCGCTCCTCAGCCCCCAGGGGGACACACTAACTGTTTATACAAAATTGAGTCTGATTTGCCAAAGGATACTCCAGACCGAATTGGGATGAAATCCCTATGGTAGAAGAAGGATTTAAAAGGTTTTAACTCTATTTCCCCTATTGGGCCCCGCCCTTCTGCCCCGGGGAGGGCCACATCCACCATTAATACAAAATTTAGTCCCCTTGGCCAAAGGATGCTTTAGACTAAATAAGGATAAAATCCCTTAATCCCTACGATAAAAGAAGGATTTTTAAAGGTTTTATCTCTATTTCCCCTATTGGGCCCCGCCTCTCTGCCCCAAGGAGGGACACACCCTCCATTTATACAAAATTGAGTCCCCTTGACGCAAGGATGCTCCAGACCAAATTGGAATCAAATCCCTTAATCCCTACGATAAAAGAAGGATTTTTGAAGGTTTTACCTCTATTTCCCCTTTTGGGCCCGCCCCTCTGCCCTTAGGGGGCCACACCCCCATTTATACAAAATTGAGTCCCCTTGAACAAGGATGCTCGAGACCAAATTGGGATGAAATACCTTAATCCCTATGATAGAAGAAGGATTTTAAAGGTTTTACCTCTATTTCCCCTATTGGGCCCCGCCCTTCTGTCCTCAGGGGAGCCACACCCAACCTTTATACAAAATTGAGTCCCCTTGGCCTAAGGACGCTCCAGACTAAATAAGGATAAAATCCTTTAATCCCGACGGTAGTAGGACTTTTAAGGTTTTACCTCTATTTCCCCTATATGGACTCGCCCCTGTGCCCCCAGGGGGGGGGCACACCTAACCTTTATACAAAATTGAGTCCCCTTGACCCAAGGATGCTCCAGATTAAATTATGATAAAATCCCTTAATCCTCAAGGTAGGAGAATGATTTTGAAGGTTTTACCTCTATTACCCCTGTTCAGCCCCGCCCCTCTGCCCCAAGGGAGGCTACACCCACCATTTATACAAAATTGATTTCCCTTCCAAATATGATGCTACTGTTCAAACTTGGTCAAAATACCTTCATCCCAACGGAAAAAAGGAAATTAAAGCTATTCCTCTATATCCCTTATTGGGCACCGTCTTTCTGCCCAAAAGAGGGTCAGACCCACCGTTTATACAAAATTGCTTCCCCTTCACCCAAGGATGCTTCATACCAAATTTGGACAAAATCCTGTCATTCCTACAGAAGAAGAAAGATTTTGAAGAATTTGCTATGTTTCCCTCTTAGGCCCCGCTTCTCAGCCCCCAGAGAGGCCACACTCACTGTTTATACAAAATTGAGTCCCTTTTGCCCAAGGATGTTCCAGACCAAATTGGGATGAAATGCCTTAATCCCTATGGTAGAAGAAGGATTTTAAAGGTTTTACCTCTATTCCCCTATTGGGTCCCGCCCCTCTGCCCTCAGGGGGGCCAAACCCAACCTTTATACAAAATTGAGTCCCCTTGGCCTAAGGACGCTCCAGACTAAATAAGGATAAAATCCTTTAATATACGGTAGAAGGATTTTAGAGGTTTTACCTCTATTTCCCCTATTGGGCCTCTTCCCTGTGCCCCAAGGGGGGCCACACCAATCATTTATACAAAATTGAGTCCCCATGACCTGAGGATGCTCCGGACCAAATTTAGTCAAATTCTACTTGGCCGTCCAGGACTAGTAGCGTTTTAAAGGAAAAATTGACAGACGGACGGACGACGGACGCTGCGATATGGCATAAGCTCACCATGGTCCTTCGGACCAGGTGAGCTAAAAACTAAATACTAACGTAACTGACAACAACGAAACAGTCTTATACTTTTGTCTTGTTTCTATTAGTTTACGATACATTTTAAACAAATAGGTATACCAAAGTGTGGAACAGTCATTTTGTTTTTCATGAGCAATGTCGTGTTTTCTGTGGTTAACATTTTCGTCTGACAAACAAACAAACAACTCAAATAAGAATTCTTCGAAGAATTTCCATCAAGGTTTTAATTTGATGTCATGAAACGTGGTCCCGATTACATTACATTTCGTGTGGCGGACATACCTGAACAAGTTTCCGATTGGAATGCATTCACAAGTAATATATGCCTCAGTGTTATGAATTCACAGCTACATTTACAGTTGAGAATTCAGACACTGTACACTGAAACGTAAATATTTGTTATTGATGCACGTGACACTACTGAATGTTACGACTGTAAACATTTCATTTGAATACAATAATATAACTATTTGAATGCGAACACTATACTTCTGATTGCAAATGACTTGTTTTTCAAGGCAAACGTTATGATTTGAATGAAAATGTAAATATTAAACAGTGCAACTCTTGACATATTGCATATGAATCTACACCCCCCACCCACCCACCCCCGGGACATAATCTGACCTGTATGGGAGGGAACAGTTTCCTATACTAAATATATTATAAACGGCGGGTGTAAAGCAATATATTTTGATCATAGAGTCAGGCAAACGTGTTTCGCAACACCAGAGCCAGAAGCAGAGATTCACATGATCTATTGTTAGTTTAGAAGAACTAAAATGTCACAAGTGCTGGTATCAAATGTCAAATTTGAAAAGGAAAAACACAAAACTCATCGAAAAACAATTGCCTTCCTTGATGTAGGTATTTTATTAAATAATCTATTAAAAGAGATCCGAGTACAAAATAAATAAAAGATGTAAATTAATTGACATTGTCATTGGTATTGGTTTTACCTATGAATCACAATATTATGAACTGATTCCAAAAGTCAGAACAGTAATCGTACATACACATAGAAAATTGCAATGAATGATATTCGAACTCTAATGGGATGTTAAAATGTCACAACCTTAAGTTGTCGACCGTTACATGTATACTCAATTTTTGGAGTACCATTGACATGGGTGTTGATTGGATGTCGTAAAACAACGCCGCTCTCCGAAACGACATGTTCCTTCGGCGTGATTGAAATGTCCACTGTAGTAGTTGGCGGTTGGTTTATTTTCAAAACTGCCTGTGATGTTGCAACTGTCGAACGCAACTAAACCGTCGTTTGGGAGTGGCAAGTGTGTGTACGCGGACACAAGGTGTAAGCGGGCACTCATAGAAAGAGACAGACCCATTCCGAAAGCGCTATTACCGCACACAGCCCCAGAAATATAACGTCGGGCCGTCCTTATAAGGTCTTTATAAGACACACCAGTCGGTGAAACGTACGAGGTGTTCATCGACATGTAGGCCTGTGCCGGGCGACTTTTGTTTACGTCACAATAATGTAGTTCCTTCAGCACAATGTAGGTTATTTTTGTTTCTAGGTTCTTTTTTGAGCAAAGGGAATAAAGTTCTTTTGAGACCTTACTCCCTCTCCAAGGCGCTTGTATAGAGTACCATTCACTAGTGCTATGGTCGAACTTACAAAAGCGTCTGTGGAAAGCCGCAGCAACTACCAGATTCCCCATAGAGTGTGTAAATACCATACTATGCGAAATAGGCCGACTCGAATTACCGATTGCAAATTCACAGAACATCTTATGTGATTCTGTATCGTCCCAGCCACGGTTAATACTGTTGTACCACATGAAGCGTCGTGTAAGGCACTGTGGAGTGTATCGTTCAATGTGCCCCCAGTAGTGCAGTAGTTCTGGCATGTCCATGTATCTGTCTGTTTCCGGGTGCTCACCTGCACCGTGAACGAACAAACAATGTTTCTTTGGTTTTCGTTTTAGGAGTGACTTTCCTGATTTTGTAGTAAAACTGTCTGCTAACGACATAGCGTCTTCCAAAAGTGATATATTTGGGTACACAGCATTGCACTTTTCTAACTGTTGAGGTAGTTTAATTACATTAAATGGACGTGCATTCCATTCCGTCACCGTGGCGCGTGTTCCAGCGTGGTCAATGTACACCAATCGCGAGTCTTGGATACAGAAGAAGATCGTTTGACCTGCTATCCTTGTATACAATTCGTTTCCGGTACAACTCTGATCATTTCCGCGACTTCCGGTGTATGACTTAGCCTGTTTCTGCAGAATGATTTGAAACACTGTGAGCCATTCAACCGACTCTGTGTCATTTTGACAAAACCATTGCTCTTCCTTTTCATACATGACGCCTAACACTGCTGAATTGTTGGCATAAATGAACCTGGTAATGGTTTTGTTCCCATGTTAAAGTGAATGTGATTCACTTGTTCGAGTTTCTTGATATGTAACAGAACGCGTATCGGAGTTCCAGTCAACATCAATCGATATGTTTGTATCTTCGGCTTCCTCCTGTTTATTTTTCGATAGCTTTAATTTTGCTTTGAAGGAATGTGAAAATATGTGCTGCAAAGTTGTATTTGTTGTGGCGCGTGTGTCAGTAACGTATAAGTGGGCAAAATGGAGACAGACGAGTATACCCACTGCGGCGACTCCAAGACAGAGGACGGCCAAAGCCAGTTTACAGTACGGTCGTCTGGAGGGACGTCTTATCTGCGTTTGTAGAAGCCCAATTCTTTCCGGGTCCGCCATTTTGATATTCTTCATGGCAAAGCGTCTTGATCCAATTTACCTTGAAAAGAAAAGAAAAAGTTTAGACAATAGAACTCACCTTCCCGCGTACGACATATACACCTGGGTTTTATTAAGAACAGTTTCTTATTTAAGTAATGAAGATCATCTCCAATGGAAGTATAACGTAACGTACATGTACCTGAACTTACGGAAATTAAAAAAACCCACAGATACATATGCAAGACCACACACTTGTGTTTTTCTTACGAATCAGAAAGCACGAGCTTATTGCGCGGACGAATATATTCACGAGTGCGCGGCGCGCAACGAGTGAATATATACGTCCGCGCAATAAATGAGTGCTTTCTGGTTCGTTAGAAAAACACAATTGTGTGGTCATGCTTTTATCACATACCTTCCTTATTTTGTAGAGATCGTTACAAAGATTTTATAAACTTTGATATTTTTTGCATATACCGGAAACTTTTCAGTTCGCCATGACAAGGAGATTCCCATAAAAAGTAGTTCCGGCTAGTAGGTAAATACAACATTCTGTATTGCACGTTGTATTTCATGGTCTGAAAATTGCTTGTATTACTATAACAAGATTAAACAGGTATGTGATAAATGTCGTATTTACTTATACTGTAAGTACAATGTACATATCATACACAATGTAGAACCGTTGTACATCTGTCAGCATCAACATGTTTAAAAACAAATGACATTCATACCATTACAAATAATATAGAGTAATGATTTCAATTCTGAAATTTAAGTAAATGGTACATTTGTTCATACAGTGTATACCATATAACGTGTTGAAAATGTCATAAAATTACTTTGTATGTATGTAGCCAACATGGAACATGTACCTGTACCAATATATCTCCTGTGCTACTATCCTCAATTAAAAATATTGATCTGTACAAGATATATACATTTATGTTCAGTGATAAAACAAAAAAATGTTAGTGTGTATCTGGTGTAAGATGTGCAAAATCATAGCTACACAGTACTTCCACACAGTAGGTGTACATGTACATTATATATATACAATGTAACATATTTAGCTTATGTTTTGTTCAGTACATGTACATACCTGGTACCCTGGACAAATGTAAGGAAGTTTTGTTTGTGTTTTAACACGGAAATTTTTTCAATCGGTCCTGTCGTCATTTTCCTTGTCTTTATAGTTAAGTTTCATATTTGACCACATGACTCACTTGTATTGACATGTCAAGTCATCCGACACGAGGAAATTGAATCACAGAATTAAGATATTTCAGGGCACTTTTAAACACTTCGATGACTTGTTAACACATATCACGTGAAACAATTTCTATGCTGATCTATCTGGTAGAGCCAATGAAATGGGTTGTTTTAAATGCGTAACAAAAGCAGGCGTGAATTTATATAACCGAGGTCCATGCCAACTACATGTACATAGTATACTGTTGTGTCAATATATTCATCAAAATCTGTTCAATCATTGATGTTGGTTTTAAGTAACGTCGGTTCGTTTATCAATATGTATTTTCCTTAAACTATGTAGGTTCGTTAAATAATTTAGTTTCTCGGATAACTAGGTTGATAAAATATTTAAAGCTATGTTTATTTTGTTCATGTTAATGTATATTAGACATATAAGCAATCACTTTGCGAATTTTCTACATGTACATGTCTATGTATGTATTCACTGTGTTTTACTATTTTTGCTTTTAAACTACTTTGTACTGTAGTTACAAATGTGCAAATAAATTTGAATCGAATTGAATAATACATGGTCACTAAATAAGGCCATACAAATAACAGACGTCGTTTCCGGTAACCCTACCTACCCTTACTTTTTGTGCCTATCTAGGCAATTTNGACCCAGGAATTAATTTTGGGTGTTGCCCAAAATTTTAAACTCAGTTTTAAAAGACTCCAAAAAAACTAATAAATTATAATTGTCATGTCGGTTGTACATGTATACTACTTTCTGGCACCAAACAATATATAGAACTTAATTATTTCTGAGATTATGACAATTACAATTTCCCTGGCGAGCAGAGCGAGGCAAATTTTTTTTCTGGAGATGTAATACTAAACTTGTTCAAGCACTGCCAAGCGTAGAAAGCTAGAATTTATCGGACATTATTTCCATTGTCAAACAGATCGAAATTCAAGGTTTTATTTTATAACATAGAGTATTTATATTTTTTAATGGCCGAGCGGAGCGAGTGTTAACAAATTCTCTGAAACAATGGTAAAAATGTAGGTTTTTGGTTAAAATGTTGATGTTTGTGTCATGCCTTTCATGTGCATTTAGTTTAGGCGAGCATTTTGGCAATTAAATATTGATTTATTTTGTCATTAATATGAATTATGATTTGACTGTTTGTCTTTTATTGTGAATCTTTATGCATGCATATGTACAAGAACAACACCTGGTAAAAAGGATATATATACATGCTAACAATGCTTATTATTCACCTGATAACGTGATGCTAAGGTGGATGCTTTATTGTCTTTGACATTTTTGAAATTTACATTTTTTAACAGGTATAATAAATCACTCCTGGTGATCATGTATGTGTACATGAAACCACAGGTCAAAATACAGGTTTATCTATCATGAAATGGACTCAACCTTTGAAATAACAATTAACATATATACCTAATTCCAACAGATGGTTTTATCCTCTCTCAACGGACAGGGTGATCACCACATGTACACCGTGACATTATAGAACAATACGATAAGGTAGACAGTCCGTTGAGCCTTCACCAATGACCTGTTTAGAGTACTCCTTGTTTGGGCAACTGCACCCTTAGGCATATATAGATAATCATAGTTCACAGGATGGTTGATATTAGAAGAAAAGCCCTATGAAAAAGATGAAAATCTTCAAAAACGTAAGTCCAGATTATTTTTGGACACAGAAAAAATGGTGTTGCCCGGGCAACTAGGGCATCACCCCTGGGTCCGCCACTGCTCTTCTACGATGTAAAAATGACATTTGTTGCCTGCCTAATCTAGATTTTTCAAACATGTTATTGGAAACATACATTTTTTTGTTTGGCCTAATGTAGGGTTCTCAAATGATATAGATTCATTAAATGAATGGAGTTTAATGATGGAGGTCAATCAAATTATTGTTTTATTATATTATTATGATCCTTGAAACAAGATTTATCTATTTATTTCGCTATTGTTTGTTCATTAAAAAATGCGTGTTCTTTAAATAATTCAAGTTCATTAGATGTTCAGTAACTATTGTAGGTTAAGAAAATAGTGATATACAGGTGTCAACATTTGATCAATATTTCAAGATTCCGCGGCCAAACAGATACACTTTGTACACGGACTGTACAAATGTGGTTAAAATGTCGTCAAAATGTCGTTCTTGGGTAAAATCATGCTGAACTCATCAATCTTGACCGTAGGAATGTGTCAAAGCGACATGGGTAAAGTGGCGAAGTTAGAAAGTTTGTGTACCGCAAAGAGTCAACGTCACGTCATACCATTAACCGGCAGGAATTCACAAGGTGGGCATCCATACGAATTGAACCGATAATGATAAAAGTTTGAGTTTGAAAATTTAAAAATATCAACGGGTTCCAAACAGTCAAAAACATTCCGATCTTTTCTTTTCGAAGGAAAATTGTTGAAATCACAATTGTTTGGTGTTCTTCATGTCTCGCGAATTCATTCGGCTGTTGGCGGTCCTCGTCGGAGTGACTGCCTTTAGCGTACACATTCTGCCGACACCGATGACCGATTCAGTCGGATTTGCAGACGATCAGAAAACTACTTGGAAAAGTGTATTTCATAACAAAAAATAGCAGAAGATTTATCCGTATATAAGATTGAATCTTTTCTGAAACTTATTGTTGTGAAAACAACATCGTAATATTACCTGTTCTGCCCATGCCAGGTGACCGTGTCAGCGCGTAGATCTCCCGTATTCGAGGTGTCGGTCAACGCTAACGTTATATTTGCGACATGCTTTCTTATTAACTTCATGTGTTGGCATGGCTACCTGAACAGCATGTATGTAGTTACACCTGGTAATTGTTTACCATTTTGATTGACAGGTGGAAATGTATCCGTTGTAGCTTGGTCAATGATTTATCGGAAAATGATCATACAGAATGATGGGATGACTTTCATGTCATTCTGACATATTTCTAGTTTAAAAATAAAAAAAATACTTGACACAACTAAAAGAGTCTGGAATAAATAGAGACAGTCAATCGGATGGCTACCAGCAGGGAGTATCAGGACTATTTGAACTGTCATATGAGGAACTGCTACAACATACAGAACTAAGAAAGACAACAAGAGACCCCATGGGCCTGTATTGCTCACCTATTCAAATGTCGTAGGTTAGACATCTCACGTCTGTAATCATTGAAGTAGAAAACTGATGTCTCGGGCAATCACACACCAACGGCACATCTTGGATTTCTAATCAGTCTGTAAATACAATAATAACTTATAAGTAATCATGACATGAACATTTGCAATAATTTGTGCTATTTTATTTAACTGAGATGTTTGCTATAGATAGTTTAAATCAAATAATGTTTTCATAATTAACTTAAATCAGTAAACATCGTTTTAAACAACAAATTAAAATATATATAACTGAACATTTCTTCATTCTCTTTCATTTCAGATTGAAACATGAATGATACAATGCACAGCAAATACGTGTAACAGAATATATAAATGAAACTTCACTGTAGGTTATAAACACGTGAAAAATATTCTAGTACATGTTGTTAAAGTTTTTATTAGGCCATTCAAGCCACATTTCTGCATGTACCAGTGAGTTTCATATAGGTACATGTACATATACAATGTAATAATATGTATATGACATTTAGACTCCATTGGCTGGGTCCCAGTTAAGCAGAACTCAGATTTGATGAAAAATACATCATAAGTTTGATTTTAAAACATATTTTCATATTTCTTATCTTTATATAGCTATTTTGAATCGAAAGACATGCAGTATATTTTTTTATGAACTCCGTTAGTTTGGAAAAACATAAAACCTAGCGAACAATTTGGCAAGAAAGTCATGGTTTGTTTCAACACCTTATATACGGTATTACGTGTTGTTGAGGTGACGAGGTCTAGTCATTATGGCTTACATCTCCCCTATTTATCACACCTCTCGTACAGACGTGTTAAGCTTGTTCGTTCACGCTAAAATTCTTCACTACAAAAAAACATTACGATCCATAAGTTCAAATACAAATTTATAAATTGCAAAATTGATCGCTTGATAACAAGTTGCTCATCACCCAAAAATCCTGATACAAAATAGCTGGTGTAAAAGATATCTATCTATACCGAATTTAACATGGCAGCTTTACTTTTTCTACGCATTCGGGTTGGTAAGTATGGATTATGAGAAGTTCTTTTAACACAACCAGTACAATTTTCTATGTGACGTTTCGATGACTACACTGTCACCTCCATCAGACAGATGACCAGTGAAGCGTATGTACACAAAGGTGTAAAAATGTGTACGATTTGTCCATAAAATCGACAAGCTTTACAATTCTTCATTGTGTTATATTTTCCCGAAATAACATCATTTTTCTGTTCAGCAGATAGTAATTAAACAAGCTACATAGTTCAAATACCACGTTTAAAAAAAAAATCAAAATTTCTGTAATTGTCAATTCAGTTTAAGGCAAACATCTATAATTCTACCTTCTGTCTAGTTTTGTTGAATATCTCTGTATTGCATGGTTATCGAATAAAAAGGAGGAAGTTGTTACATATTTGTACAATTACATATTAAGGGGCAGTCAGGTACCTTGTGGGTCGAGACCTTGTTTATTTTTTTATCTATTTCATTCGGCGGGGTGTTTTTTTCCAACTTCATTTTAGTGATTTTTTGTTGCTTCCATGCATTGAAAAACTTTAGGGCATGTTTAAAATGCAACGAGGTCCCGACCGCAGGTACCTCTCCTCGATACTCCAGGGGATATGAGGGGATACGCTGACTTTCGCTCTCTGCACATATCCCCTAGAGTATCGATGGTCAGGTACTTCCTCCTCAATACTCCAGGTGATACGCTCACTTTCGCTCTCTCCACGTTTCCCCTACATTATTGAGAATGAGGTACATGTGCAGCACAGACCAGGGTTCGTTACACATGTCTAGAATGTACATATGCTATATACTGATAGAGTCACAGCACACATATTGTATGTTTTGGGTGTGCTGTGACCAATATCAGTATAGCATGTGTGTATTTCAGACAGTATGTGCGCTGTGACCTATATCAATAAAGCATATGTGTATTGGAGACAGTATGTACGTGTGTTGTGACTCATATCGGACAATAAAGCATGTGTGTATTTGAGACATTATGTGTGCTGTGATCCATATCAGACAGTATATAGCATGTGTGTATTTGAGACATTATGTGTGCTGTGATCTATATATATATGTGTGTATTTGAGACATTATGTACGTATGCTGTGACCCATATCAGACAGTATATAGCATGAGTGTATTTCAGACAATTTTAACGGACCGTCTGTGAGGAATGGTCGGTTGTAGTAAATTTCAGAGTGAAATTAAGTACTGTAATTAGCGACAAAGGTAGTGACTTAATCACAGGGGCATGGATCGGAGATCCCTATTTTTTAATATTACAAGTAAAGCGATCCATGCCCCTGTTGACTTAATATTAATTCTCATTATTAAACATCATCATGTGATTGAGTAACAATATCATGGATTATGATATTGACTATGGATGGTGAAAACACTTGACTTTACTAAAACAGTCATCACACACGTTAGAAGGTACCCCATTGAAATTGAAAACATCGTGACTTTCTGGGTCATTCCAGGTAAAAAATGAACAATTAATTCATGTGACAACTGACACATGGACGTACATACTGACTTTATATAACATGTGTGACCCGATGCTATTGAAAATGTGGTGAATATACACAATGTATGTAATGTTGCCTTTTACCTAAATAAATAGTTCTACTATTATCATATAGTACGGTATTGCTACTATCATATTTCCATAAACACAAGATAAATCAGTATGTGTTAAATACACGTGTGACGTTCTTTAGGCTATATATTTAGTAGATACTACACGAGTGTACAAATACGTACGCTAGGCAGATCAGATTGAGCGGAAATCATACAAAAAATCAACCACTTACCTCTACATTTCAATTTACATGCATGACCCTTTAATGCAATCGTTAGGTCAGTTCTACCCAAGTACACCGGGACACATGTGGGTTAATGGATCGTACGATATACCGGATGTAGTGTGATGTTGCAAACCTGAATAACCAGTCGCTAGCCGTTACATTTAATCTGTTATATAGAAGTGTGAAAGGCGTAAATGAAAATGCAGCGTGACCAGACATTTTTTAGCGTCCCAATGTTTATGTGTCATTCGATTCATTGAGCTCGTAACTAAGGCCAAGCCTCAATTGAGATGTATACGTCATTGGTACATCATTTTGTGTACACAACAAGACACCATTATAATACCAAGTAACAGACTATACAGAATTAACTCATGTTAACCCCCGGGGCGTTTGAATTATGCTCGATACAGAATGTAAATAATTAAAAATTCACACATGTGTACAAACACAATATGGCTTAATTAATTATAGCACCCTTTCTCTCCAGTAAAAAAAGGAAACAAAAACACACCCTACCATTTAGCTTAAACAAAATCCACCACGGGAAGTTCCCACCAGATTAATAAAGCTGATTTAAAACGTATTATGTATTGTTATGATAATACAAACAATGTATATGGCTAGGGGGGTTAACTCTGTCGTCGTTGATAGTGTTGGCCAACATTTTGGGAACTTCCTGGACTACCCCCATTTAACCTGTTCTTTGATAGGAATGACACTTTAATGACGCATACCGGTGGAATTTTAATTGAAAAAAATCTGCAGGATTATGCACGCATCACGCTGAAGGTAAATAATCAAACCGATACATGCTGACACTGTCACATGACACTGAGTTTTGAAGATGATCCGTGTTTATATATATAATAAGTTCTGCAGTTGTTATAACAGTGGAGTATTTTTGTTAGTTTTTTATTGGCTCGTCTATTCGAAGAATAGAGGTGCTATACGTCCCACTTGGTTCAAGTTTTTGGGCAAGCAGTGTTTTGGTGTTAACTCAAATTTTAATTAATTTTACATTGGAAGTTCCTTAGCAACAAATTTGACCACATTTGTTCATTATGGGTCTAAAACAGAAATCTTTCAGAAATGTTTCAAGTTTTTGGGCAAGTTCTACAGGTTAAAGTTTTAGGGCAAGTTCTAGTTCTTTTGAAACCACTCGGCAGATGTCAACCAAATTTGGCAGGAAGCATCATTTGGGGAATGGGACTCATGGCCATGCTTGTACAAATTAGCTCCTTTTGGCCCCGCCCACCTGTCCCCTGGGGGGGGGGGGGGGGGGGGGGGGGGTCAATTTATAGAATGCCTTTAAAAGATATCTCCTCCTAGACTATTTGGCAGATTTGAACCAAATTTAACAGTAATTTTATCTTTAGGGAAAGGGATTCAAGATTGTACAAATAAAGTCCCTGACCCCCCAGGGGAGAGATGGGCGGGGCCAAAAGGGGGAAATTTGACGGTATGCCTTTAAACGACATCTCCTCCGAATTAGGAACTTTGAACTTTGAGACATGGTAGATTGGTGTATGGAGAAGTGCACAACACTTTCTGAGTATTTATTATCCCCGGGCCGGGGGGTCATGGGGATCAAATATTAAAAAAAAAGTATTTATCATATCAAATCAAATATTATTAACTTTTAAATAACTTTTTCTACAATGTTTGAAGAAGAACTTAAAACTTTTAGACATGGTAGATATCTGTATGGGGAAGTGCACCGAACTTAAAGAATTTTGATATGACCCCTAGGGACGGCTCAGAGGGGTGGAGTCATATATATATATATATATAGTCCTTTAGCATATCAAATCAAACATAACCATGAGTTCTACATTTTACAGTAATTGATTTTTGCATATGGTAATCGTGGGGGGTGTTACTTTGGGGGGATAACGAGAGTGTTCCATCGTTCCATCGACAATGTAGTTCTAGTTTCCTGATCTATTATCTAAGATGGTACATCCTGTAATGGCCCAATTACTATTAGCACTTTTTACAAAAATAATTTTAATAGACGAACTATGCTGTTCTCCTACAGCTCTTTTCATATTTTGTAGTCCGTCTCATAATCACACACTTTTCATGAATGTACGTATGTACATGTACACATACTATGAGTGCCCAGCTGCGACAGGTATATGAGCTTTATTAGTTACTTGTACATTTGTTCATGTTAGTTTTTAATAAAAAACCATTACCAACTCCATATTACACCTAAATGAGTTTGTAAACAAAACTAAAAATATAAGTCAGCTTTAAAAATACGTATAAAAAATGTCGGACGCTCGACCCTCTGTAAGCAAACACTCCGAAAAATGATTGCTACGCCACTGAGTCTAAACAGTAAGTGTTTATGGAGAAATCGAAATCNCCAACCCAAAACAAACCCCACCTACCCCACCCCCACCCCATATGTCTGATACATGTCGGGGATAGAATGCACGTTCAATGTTTTAGAGGAGACTTGAAAAAAAAAGGAATTTATTCTGTTAAATAATCATTAATATTTTAATGATCGGCCAATCAGAAATCGTCTTACATATTGTATATCTACATGTACTTCCTCATACCTGATACAAGTACCCGTTGTATATGTCTAAATGTACATGTGTACACGGCACACATGAAGTACTGCAAGTGTTTTACATATATTAACAGCAAGAAGGGAAACCTGTTACCGCCATATCTTCGTCATACCAATACAAATAAATCTAGATCTTAATCATTTATTAAAATTCTCTCACTTTTTTTAGCTAAGTAAAACTTCTTTATAAACGAACTGAACTTCCCTGACTGATATATCTCTTTATCCACTACGCTTCAATAAACCTATACTATAAAAGGAACACAAACAGGAAGTATTTTAGTCATGTGCTTTATTTGGAGTTTCCCTGATTGTTAGTTCCTCCTTGTTGATAAAGAAACAAAGACATATATAAAATCAACACTTTGAGTGAACATATCTATGCGTACCATAGCCTCGGGGCGTGTTTAGGTAAGTAACTGTAATATACACCTATAGACCATTTATAAGTTGACCGGTTGTGGCCATTTCGACTTGTCGTTGTAGCGACTTTGCTAGTAGGTCGCTATTACAGCAAAAGGCCTAAGGGCCTACGTCGGTCACCTCTGTAATATTACACTCATCGTGAAGACGTGAAATAGTATAAGTATGTAACGAGAGAATACATTGTAATACTGTACATAACTCGCCATGTAAACGGAGTGAAGGGAGACACTAAACTATTCAATTCAATCATTTAGGCTTTGAATGAGAAATAATAGTTTCTTAGTCATAAAGCCAAATTTTACCCGTTAGTCTATCCTTGAGGTAAAACAAGATCTTTATTTTTTGAAACCATCTATTACAATTTCATTATAATTTTTCCAACCAAAGTTGAATTATTTCCTGCTAAAAATGGACAAAATCGTATTGGCCACGCTTCTCTAGTCCAAAGTATGAGGATAGTTCATATTTCTTCATACCATCTACTGTAATTGTCATTTCTTCATATTTAATCCAGACACATGCTATTTCCCTTTGTTATTTCCCTTTGGTATTTCCCTTTATAAACTATAATAAACGACGTACCAGGAGTTTTTTTTCTCTCCATCTCATCCAAAATATTCCAATCCAGTTTGAATTATTTTTAGCTGTAAATGTACAAAATATACCAAAGAGTGTTATTTCCCAATGTAAATTAAGTTCAACTTTATCCCCTCCCCAAGGGAGAACAGTTGATAATGGGGTAATGAAATGTACAAGTTATTTGAAGCACACTATGAACTTTTTATCTATGAAAAGTGTTTGATCCTGTTTAGACTGAGCTTGAGGAAGAATATATTCATAATTTAATTAAGAGTGAGTATCGAACCTGGATGCTGATTTCATATCGATTTTCTTTAACATTTGTGCTTTTGAGATAGATAGGAAACTGTATATACCCAGTGACGATAATTAATAGACATCTTGACGAACTGACCATGAACATATTTTTGTAAAATACGTGTACAACTAATAAAATAAGAATACAAAAAAATAGATTAAAGATATTTCCGGCATGCAATCCCTAATATTGCCATGTATTTGCCTGTGACTGACACAGCAATCGGCAGATCAGAGACAATTGATGACCCTGTTCAAAGTAAAGTAAAAGTTTTGCAGATGTTTTATAGACATAATGCGCGCAGACATCCGGACCAGCAAGAATTATTGATATAAGTTGCAATAACCTGTTTCACAATTGTGGTAAAATAAGCAAAGCTTATATAACTCTTACTATTCTTCTTCTATATTTCATCTTTTTTATTCATTCTTTCAGAACTCATCACAACTCGGGATGCCGTTGGCCAACGAAACCGAAAGTCTTCTGAGACCACAACAGACAAAATGGCGATATCGGAAGATGTTTGTCATTGTGATTTTCTTGGTCCTGTTATGTGTCGTTGCCAGTCTTACCTTTGGCTGCATATACTGGATAAAAACTTTCAACAACAAAATCAATGTTGTTCATTTAAAAGATAAACTGCCCAGTTCGTTTGGAGTTTCGTTTAACATTCAAGCTGAAAATTCGTCTCTTCTTACGAGTACAAAGGACGTCACTGTCAGATGGGAAAAAGAGCCAAATCTCATGAGATTTCAACAAAAAAGCGTGGAAACGCCTTGGAACGAAAGCATCGTCACTACCGTCAGCATACTGGACCATAGAGCCGTAGTTTCGTACACTCTAGAAAACAAGACTAGCTGGATATGCGCTAACGATTTAAAAATCTTCGACTGGTTTTCAATTTTTCGCCTCATGATGATTTCCACTGAATCTAATCACACAGACGATAACTGTACCGGCCGTATATGGACAGTACCATACGAAGGACAGAGGGTATTTATATGTTTAAGAGGAAATCGAATCGCTTACATAAAGTATGATAACAAAGTTGCTGAGCCTCAAGAATGGGTGGTCCCCTCCCGATCTTCCATCAAACTGCCCAAGGATGCACCCGAGTGTAGAGTAAAATACCCACAGGTGTCTTCATTCAGCATACTAGAACAGGGTAGTGCTAATTCAACTAGAAACCAATATGATAATAGAAAAGGTGAAGTACTTTTGGGTCAACCAGAAATATTTGCTAGAAGTACAAAACCAGACTGTCTATTTGTTCACGGAATTGGTGTAGAGACGCCAAAAAGTGGATTCAGAACTCTCACTAGCTTACACTACTGGGGCCACATCGAAAAATACACCCCACAGTGTATATCGCACAAGTTTATTGAGTTCAACACAGTCGACAATGGCTGGGACTCTAAAGTTTTACATGAAATGTTCTGCGAGTTTGCCACTGGCTCAAAGTCAGGAGGAATCATTGTCAACAAGCTAATTATTTCCCACTCCATGGGAAACAACATCATTGCGGCAGCGCTTCACAGCAAAAACTGTATATTGGACAAGGCGTCCAGTCAATGGTTCTCCGTGTCTGCACCCTGGCGTGGAAGCAAGGTGGTGGACACGCTCGAAACTCTCTGCTCTGGTTACTTAAGATATAAGCCTCTCGGGAAAATGGTGGCATATATATTAAAGCACACAAAGTTTTGCACAGAGGACGGCAACATGTCTCCGGCCTACGCCACACTGGAGCCCACCTACAAGTCCAAAACAGGTATCACTTACGACGATCTTGTGTCCATAGCTAAACAGTATGTAAACGGGGCGTTGTGTGGCACATCGCCATGGGGTATCGGCCTGAATCTACCATTCAGCGGGGCTTTGGAGTTCATACAAGATTACAGTAAACTCGAGAAGCCAAACGACGGGGTAGTGGCACGAAAAAGCTGTGACATTTTTGGCGGAAAATTTCAAAACTCCTCCCATAACAAATTCTTTCTGGCCTCCGTAAATCATGGTGAGAGTTCTACCAAATTTGGCTGTTCTGTGAATCTTTGTTCGTGGTTTAGACACTTGTAAAGAGGGCTTCACTGTACAAGTGTGTTTAGATAAGTTAAAGCTACTTTGATAATTTATTCTTATTTACATATCTGTATTATCTTTTAGATTTTGCAATAAGTGTACACACAGGCACCGATCACTTTTCAAATTTGATTATAGACACAACGGACGTTTTGTCCATGTACAGCTACACCAAATATTCTGGTGACATGAATTGGCGATTTCCTAACTTGGCTATTTTTCAAATAAATCTTGGCAAAAATGACTTCTTACACAGGATAACTTAATGTCTATATTGTCACATTGATCTAAGTTCCTTAAAAATGTATAGTAAATACATTGTACATATATGTGAATTTCTAATTTGTTGTCTATTTGTTTCAGTGTTTTTGAAAAGTTCGTGTTCATGTAATAACAAACAATACATATTATTATGTTCAAACAACAAACGCAAATTAACTGATATATGTATTCTGAGTTTTAGACACACATTATTTATATAGAGTATTAAGCGTTTATGAGGAATACAGAATCAAAGGGAAGTTTGAATGGATAGTATATGTTGTATGTTACGGAGATTCAATTTTGTATATGTGTTTTCAATACCTTTTTTTGTGGTATTTGATGTTTTGGAAAATTAATAAAACATTGTGCAACAAGCTTACAATGTTTAACATAAAATACTGAATTAGAATATCTTTATTTGTTTACATATTTCTCTTATGATAAGATGTTTATTAAACTTGTTGACAACCTCTACCACACATGGAAACATTGTTGCATTGAAAAAAAAAATCATTTATTTTATTTTATAATAATATAATAATAATACTAAAGGCTTTATTTATTCTTGACATCATATTGAGCATGAAGTTCATCTTACATATGGTCAAGATACAATGTATGATAAAATGTACAATATTTACAGCTTTAAGAAATATACATGTATAAAATACAGGATAAAAGAGGAAATCATAAATCATTTCAAGTAAAATTGCTTTGCAGATCTCTTAAATTCTTAAAATGAAGTACAATTTCTAATGTGACTTGATAAAAGATTCTATGCAAGGGGTCCCTGATATTTAAGGAGGAACAGGGTGTTATTTGTAAAAAAATCTAGTCAATTAATATTTTTCATTTTTTCCACATACATACATTTAGTTGTCCTCTGTAACATATTATAATATTATGGTCACTTTCTTGATATATAAGGGAGGTAATTCAATTTTAGTTATCTCCCTTGTCACAAAATTTTCAATATTCACAACAAAGTCATTTTCAACTGTATAAAATTTATTTTTCAAAATTTTCAAACACATTTTTCGAAAGTTAGGACAGAAGACATATTTTTCAAATGCAAAATGATAAATTTGAGTTTTGATTTTGGTAAATCTACCAAAACAGGAAAAAAATGACAAAATTTGGCAAATTTTGCATTTTCTAACAGGGTAAACTGGCAATTATTTTGAATATATCCTGAAAATCTGTCATTTAATAGTTTTTGAAACACTAAAATTATAAAGTCATTTGTATTGTAAATATTTGATAGGAATATGAGATCATGTTTCTTTCTTACTTTTTAGTCTACAGAGTTGGGAATATAAAGACATGCTGCTGGAATGGTGCTATTTTTAGAACAGATTGTATATGAATGAGTTACAATTGTACATATGAACAAGATGTGTATTGCCAACACAGTCCCTTTCAAGGAGGACAAGTACTTCTGTAGTATATACGACCTTAAATCTTGAAATATGACCTTGACCTGATATAGTTTTGACCTTGACTTTCACTTGACCAAATTTGAAGTCTCTATCTCATGTATCGAGATATAACCTTAAACTTGAAATATTACTTTGATCAATATATTTGAAAACATGGTTCGCACACATTTTAATTATCATTGAAAAAGATGTCAAAATAAAAAAATTAAATAAAAACTATGTAAAAAGCCTTTAAAAACCTTAAAAATCAGTAACTGTCTTGACAAACCCTAAAAACTAATGAAAACACTGTTATATCAAGGTTATGATGCCACTTTGTGCATAAGATTTAAAGATATTTAAAAAATAAACGGTCGTGAAATGAATAAATGGTCGTAAAATGTATAAAACAAAATAAAAACAAACAAAAATGTGAGGGGGTATAATATTCCGGAAATCATCTACCGGCTTCTGTTTCCAATACTACTGATACTATTCCGGGTCATTATTACGTTTGATACCTTTGGTGTCCATACTTTAAATTTGAAGCTTCTTCGCGATAAAGATTAGGAAAAAACAATTGGACGAGCCGCATTCTGAACGAACAGTACGGTCAGAATAGGGAAAGTGTGCATTTAATCGGAAGTGGCTTGCGATCAATGGTTCGCCAGACCGACCAGAGAATTTAAAGGCGTCAAGGACGTGGCAAAATGTATCGTTCGCAACCTAGGCAAGATGGGGGAGCATGCATTACTGCTACAAACAAACCATTCTGTGGGCAAGCGATTCGAGCCCAGATTCGTTTTTTTTTTAAAGGAACACGCTAATACTCAGCCTACGAAAACCCCCGAAACTACAGCGAATGCTTTAAGTACGTTTCTCGGTTTCAGCTAATGCTCGTGCTGCTGGTGACAAAGTGATTTTGTCGCTCTTAATAATTAGGTCCAGTACACTCTGTCGGTTGAGCTATATAGCTATATCCATATTTAAATTATAGCTGCATTGTGCTATTTTTTGATTTCACATTTGAATTTTCATTAAATTGCAGCAAAGTCGCATAAAACATCTATTGAGGTTGCATTTCATGAAAATAGCTAAAAAAAAGCAGGTAGGACTTTACAGCTATATAGCTCAACCGACAGAGTGTGTAAAACCTGCTAATACTCAACATGTACGTGCTGAAACACTTTTGACTCTTGATTTGCAAACAGTAAAACAGTTCTTTGACATTTCTAAATTATTTCCCCTCATGTTTCCTGACGGTAACATTGCGAACAAATTCACATGTATATTATAGCTGCCTTCAGAACAGCAGAGCATTTGTTAGTGAATGATCAGAAGATAAATACTCAGTTCTTTTTGACAAATTGCTTGACTCGCAGGCTAATAAACACATGGTTATGCATGTAATGTTTGATTTTTGGATGAAGAGGAAAATTTTCTAAAAACAAGATATTTTGATTATCAATTTCCTGGTCATGCCACAGCAAATGACATGTAACTCAAGAAGGTGTTATTCATAGTGAACTGAATGCAACTGCAAGTAAGCTAGTGCAGATTGGAATGGATGGACCCAATGTAAATTTCATTAACTCATTTCTGACATGTTAAAAACTGATTTTAACAATACATTATTACAAGTGTACCATAGGATCATGTGGTCTTATTATAAACTATTCATAGCAGATTTCAAGCAGGAGGTGTAGCCATTCTTGAATTATTTGGGCTAGACACCAATATACATATTAGGTTATCATTCCTCTTTGTTTGTTAAGAAACTTGTGACAGCCTTGACAGTTTTTGCATTAAATCCATGCTCTGACAACACATATCTCAGTCCATTTTCAGTATCTCTCTTGAATGCTAACTGAAGGTGTCTCAGGCAAAGTCCACATTGTGCTAATCGCCTAGCTGTTGGTTTGGTGATAAGAGATGCTCTCATTAATGGGGTGAAAGTGTCCGTCAATGCTGTCACATTGAAAGCAAAAATATCTTTTTCAGAATAGTTCAGCTGTCCAAGAAGTTCATGAAGACTTGTTACATCAGCACTTGCATCATGTGCATCATATTCTTTGCCAAGTAATTTTGAAACAAGATTCTGTTGCTTGTAATTTCCAACTTCACTTTTGCTAAACTTTCTTCTCGCTAATTTCAATGTGTCAATGCAGCCTGTTATATGTTGAAGAAATTCTGACAGCAAATGACTTTCTTGTAACTTTTTCAGTAAAACTGGTACATCATAAGCTGCAATGTTATGACCAAAAAGGATTGGTTTCTTCTTCTTACTAAGGTACTCGATGAAGTCCAACAAAACAACACGAACATCTTTACTGATGACTGGTTTTCCATGATGATACATCTGGTTTGAATGGAAATCATAAGTCAATCCTGTTATAGAAGAAGCTGTTGCAGATACTTTTTGGCATGGCATTATGTACTGATTAAAAATGTCGCTGCCGTCGTATGCTGCCAGCTGAGTAATGTCAGAGTTCCTTGATAAACCTGTAACAGAAACAATGGAACATAAATTTGTTTTACTATGATAGCACACAGGGTAGGTTTTACTTAACAAGCCAGATATATATTATGGTGCCTGGTTTATATGCATGGTAAAAAGCAGTTTGGAGAGGGGAGGAGGGATTGAGAATGATTTTTTTTTTTAAATTCAACAGACAACAATAATGGATTGAATGTAATATAACTCACATGGTCCTTTCATTTATACAAATATGATAAAGCACAATATTTTGTCTTTATTATTACCTGTTGTTTCTAAATCAAACACTACTGCAGATTCTTCACCAGTAAGTTTGATCTTGGAAGGAATTGTCTCTGTATCTATTTGTCCTTGGACTTCGATTTCCACTCCATAAGTATCGCCCTCCTTCACAGATTCTCCCTTATCATGGCAAACCTTCTGAATCTTTGTAAAATGCAGAAAAATGAAACTTTGTTCAAACATTTCGTCAAAATAATATGCAGGAAAATGGTGTATTCAGTCTTGGTACAATTCACTCAAAACTAGACATTTGTATTTAACTATTTTGTTTGTTTGACAAAAAAAACACTTTGTTTTACAGGTCAGGCTGACTATTTTAACAAGTTTATTAGAATTGCAANGTTTAGAAGCCTGTCTGTTCTATCTTTGTATATCTGTGTCAGCTTTTGTAATTCCTCTTTCAACATGTCTCCAGATAGTGCCTTTCCATTTGGTAAATGTTTGTATCTGTAAGGCGTATTGAATATAACGATAGAGGATAAATTTGTTATTTCATTTCTATGAGTCAAGACCTATAAGTATATGTAAAGAAAGATGCAATAAAACGTTTTTAGACAAGCTAATACACTGATGATCCATCAATTACTGTTGTATTAATAATAACTGTATGTGTAATGTAGCTTTTGAAACGATTTTCAAATAACCATGTTCTATAACGTGGTGGCTATGTCATATATTGGGGGAAAAAAATGAATTTTTTTTAAAGGAAAGTACTGCAGAACCATTCAGAATAAATAAGATGTAGATAAATTCCTATAAAATGGTGTTACTATATAAAATGTAAACAATATAATAATTATTACCTGAACTTTGCTGGATCCTTATTATATGTGCACCAGGATGGTGAGCACAGAGAACACAAAGCTGACTTCCAATCCATCAGAGACTGAACAGTCAAGTTCCTCCTTCTGTGCATCATTACAAGATGTTTCTGCAGCACTTATGACTACTGGGGCAAGTTTCTTCTGTATTTTGCGTAGTGTAGAGGCATCTACAGGAGGTATGTTACAACCAGAAAGAAACTTAACCACTTGATTGGGTCCCATTCCTGCATTTAACATAGCTGAAAAATGGAAGGTTATATTAATTTAGTTCAAATTTAATCATACTGTAAATATCTAGAAGGATTATCAGCATTTTGAATAACATGCTTATTATGTATAAACAATTGTTATACTTATGTGTATATAATTATAAGGCCATACATAAAATAGTGTTTGTTTCCTCCTCTATCTATAGCTACATACCCACCAAAATAGCCCCTACAGAAAAATATTGTACTGACATTTTCCAGAAAGATATCTTTTTTATATTTGTTAATTGTTTAAAAAAAAATCTCACCATGTATTCTGTTTGAATTTTAATTACTTACAATATAAATAAAAATAAAATTGAAAAAATAAAATAATTTCCTTACCAACCTACCCATGATTTTATGATTTGTAGCTTGTATTTAATACCAGAGCTAAAATCAAATGCCAATGTTGTATTTGTGTACATAGTGGATTTTGGATTTTAGCTCAGGTATTAAATACCAGATACAAGTGCCAGCTGTGGTTAAACTAACTTATAATTTGAGTGGGGGAAACTCTTTCTCTCTCTCTGGGGCGAAATATCTTATAATAGAGAAGCTGAGGCCAAACTGGAAAAGGACCGAATCGTCTTGCACAGAAGATAGAAATCACATGAAAAGAAAAGAAATCAAGAAAGATTAGGTTTTGTTACTTACCTAGATACACTTTGGAGTTGACGTCAAAGCCTTTGTTTGAATTTCGTTTTCCTGTGGGTACCAAGTTGACATGCTGGCATGCACTGTTCGGACATGATATGTAAAGGTAACTTGCCATACCGTAAATTACCTCGTCAACAATGTCAACAAACCTAAGCCACGAATTGCATTTGGCACAATTCATATTTTCGGACAGCACTGCTAGCTCAACCACCCTTCGTCCCTGAAACCATGGTTTCGTTGGTCCGATTTCCACGTTCTCGCTGACATGAATATCTCGATCTTGAACGGTGTGTGATGAAATAGTACTGTCAAGTCTGTGTTGTGGAATCGCCACATAATCGTGGTCTTGGTTGCTGGTACTGTAACTCTTCTCGTTCAAAAAACGCATATTTTCTGACCTATTCACAGTCCCTTTCTTTGCCAGTCTTCCCTTTACCCTGATATAACGGCGACTACCGCATCTGTCGTCTGCCATATTTGTTTACCTCGGCTTCCTGACATTTGTACTTCCGGTTCTATTTTTATGATTGCGGTCACGTGATTTTTCAAAATCACGTGACCACTACCCTGCTTCCCCTTAAAAGATTTTCTAAAAATGTTTGTCTTATGACATGGCAAGTAAAACACATTGGTAGATGATGATCTTGTAGTTCTACCCTGAACATCAGACATATACGTAAAAATCATTCAAATTTTGTGGAGCTAAATTATTAAGTATCATGTACATAAAAAACTACTTGATTGTATAACAATTCTTTTTTGAAAGGTAACCAATTTAGTTTTTTGAACATATCACAGGAAGGTGTGGAAAAATCACATTTTAAAATAAATCTGGCTGTTCTCTTTTGCAGGCGTTCTAATTTTACAATATTATTTTTTGAACTGTTACACCAAACAGTTGAGCAATAATCCAGATGTGTGTTAACAAAGCAGTTAAAAAAGGTCATACAAGATGACTGGCTCAAATAGGGTCTCAACTTTTGAATCTGAATAATTTGACATGATATCTTTTTGCAGACATTTGTAAATTGAATGTTCCAAGAGAGACAATCATTTTATAATAACTCTTTTAAAATGGATAATATATTAGTATATTCAGAAACCGATGACCGCTCTAATTTAACCCTGGTTTGTAAATATTTTAAAACGCTGTTACACTTGTATAATTGTTATTTTGGGAAAGGGCCTAGTAAGTTGTAAGAACTTGTGCCCAATTCCTTTGACTACACAGCGTCAATAAACTATGGTTGAATGAATTGGATCAATATTTAACTGCCTGTTTACAGATGTGGTTTAGTCCGTCTTATTTGTATATTGGACAAGTTACACATTTGGTAGGTAGAAACAATAAACATATCTTAAATTTATTGTTTCTTATGACGGCAATAGTTCCACAAGCTTTGTTTGAGTTGTTTAAATTCAAATGCAACCTGTTTCAGAATAAATCTTTGTAATACCTTTTATTACATACCTGGAGAGGAGAGCATTATTATGTTGATACAGTCCAGGCCATGCATTAAAAGGTTATGCATTTCAAGCTGTGATAAAAAATACAATAGATTACCCCTGTAACCGTACTTCATTTTATGATGGAACTAGTCGGTTGTTGTCCACTAATTAAATCAACAAAATCGAAACAGTAACGAGATTCAAAAACATGAATCTCCATTTCAGGCCAAGGAAGTACAACGTGACGTCATTATTTCGTCCTCGACGTCATTTTGACCACTATTGTTGTTTGGTTATTAATTTTTTCGGACAGAAAATTGAACATTAAAATGAAGTGATGATTGATGATTTGAAGGAAATGTATTCATATGAAAAAAATTCTAAATATGTTATGAAAAAAAGCAATACATTTATGTTCGTCTGACGTCTAATAGGACACTCGTTTATTGTGTGAATGAACATACTTCTTTCGGGTTACAGCCCTCGTGAACACCCTCGTGGAATATATCCATACTCGCAACGCAATCGGGCGATCCGAATGTTTTGTAACTTGGTGAACATTCAATGATGCATTGTAACAGTTTCAAAATTGATATTCAACTGCACGTGACAATGTTCTTTTATGATCTCCAGTTAGTTTTATCTATTTTTGATTATGTTTATAGGATCTTCCTTTTCGTTGTTTCTATTTAAGCAATAACTGATATTACTATGCATAGCATATACTCTAATTCTGCTTTTTTTGTAAAAATCTATTCAACCAGCTTTAAATTGTTATACATTGTATGACTTGTTTCAGAATAAAATCTCTATAACCTATTTTTATGTATTGGTGTCTTCATTATTTTTTCACAGATTCAAAGTCAGAATTGCTTTAAGTCGCTGAACGCTTAATACACCATTGTAAGTCACCGTAATCACTATCGAAATACAATTAGTAAACTGCGCTTTAGTCATACCTTTATTTTACATATATATCATAAAAGAATTGAATAAACTTTAAATCTGCTGTGAAACATGAAATGTTTAGAGAATTTTTTCTTCGTTGATTGAAGTTATTTAGATCATTTCGTGGTGCAAACTTTCGTAGACACTCCAAATAAATAAACAGTGGCAAAGTTTATCAATTAATTATTTTGTAGTCATTTTCGTAGTTTGACAGCAACCAGGAAAACCGCGAATGTTTATTCACAACGAATAGTTCATGTTAAACAATGTACGGATTATTTACTACTGGTATAAAATGCATTTTTATAGTAAGACACATTTGAAATAAACAATTATACTGAAAAATCAATCTTAAGGTGGTATACCCATTTTCAAACAAAGTAGTGTTATCAACAATCACAACAAAGTGTAAAAATAAAATCTGAGTATAAAAAGACCAGTAAGTACGTAAAAGTCAGTGATGGATAATTGACGCATCAGTTGTTGACGTGATAACTCGCCTAAAAATGAAACACATGACCGATCGGCCAGACGTCTAGTACGTGTAAAGGTAGGCTTAGGTCCAAATACCGGAGTCGGGCTCCGCTTGTATTCGATACCGTACGGCAGGACATATCCGTGGGGATGACATTTCGCGATTTCGCCGGTCAAGAACGTGATCGCGAAAATATAATTCACAGAATAATAAGACAAGCGTTATAGCCGCGATAATGAACTACATAACCATAATTTCGTCGTGAAACAGCGAACATGTGGTTGTGACGATCTGTATTGATATAAAGTAATAATGTTTGAAAATAGGTTATATCCCACACCAAATGGTTTTGTTAATGATTGATTTAACAAAATACATTCACTTGTTGCTGATCAATATGCTGTCATAAAGCTTTATCATTTGAATACGTGACAATTGATATGCCGAGCGTCCACCAGTCCCTGTGCTGATAAACCAAGAGAGTGCAGTTCCTTCACAGGTCTAGATCGCGAAATTATAATCCCCGTAAATTTAATTTTCTATTTGTTTTTGTTAAACCCGTAAACTGAGTCTTACAATAATTGTAGAGACATTGTCAATCTCTGGATAACCTTTGGTAAGATCATTGATTTATTCATGTCATATTTACATTAATTAAACCATTTCAACCTTTTCACAAAAAGGTGGTTTTAGCTAAAAAAAGAAAACTGGCTGGAATGGCTGTATATGTTTGCACGAATTAAACGTATGTATCAATTAATATTTGTATTCATGTACATCATGTATATACACGATTGAATAATAGAAATTAAAATGGATGATAAATTTGGGTCTTCCAATGTTTTCAAGTGAACAATGGCAAAAAAGGTGACCATACAGATGTGCATTGAGGCCAGAATGCTTAACTCCGTCTATCCTATGGTGACGTTAGACGGAGCTACACGTACTTGCTAAGAAAAAAACAGCGCCAAGAGAATACCGAAGTGTCAACAGAACCATAATACGAACTCAACATTGATAAAACTAGGGCAATATATAAGCATAGGAAATAATTACAGGGATACCCTAGAAAAAGTACAAGGATAAATCACCAGGTGCTACGAAAGGGTTAACGTCTTCTGCTTCACCGATAACACCTGCCCTGTAAATCTATGTAAACTAACCTGATATGGGATGGGTCGCAATCATTTGTTGTTAGAGACAACCAAATGCAGTTCCAGTCCCAAAAGGAGAGCAAACGGATACATATGTAACAGAAAATCAAGACTGGCTGATACGAGTTTCGCACTCTGTAGTAAAAGCCTTATGAATACATGACCGATGATGATAACGTTTTGCGTCTTGACAGAAGATACGAACACGGTAATAATTATTTTTAAGTGAAGGATCAAGAACCACATTGATCTGATGAGGATGTTGATAAGCACATCTCGATACTTAAGTTGATGAAATACAGATTTGGTATACAATTATGTTTTATCTTAGAAAACGAGTTAAAAAACACGATAGATCAATATTTTCTCATTCTCTATTTATGGAGGAAATAATTCCAGAACATGGCCACACACCATTAGTCTTTAAGTGTACAGCTTTTTCCGCGACTGTAAAGCCAAACAAAATGTGAAAATAAGATATCAGGAAAGTGCTCACCAATTTATATAAAAAGGGTAAAACTTAAGGACATTATGTCCGCTTTGATCTGTTGAGGAATATTGTGGATTTAGTTTCGATTCTAGTCTTAGATGTTGAATTTGAGTTTCAATATGTGTATCAATAATATTATTCATTTTTGTATAACCCATAACTCCATTACGGATATGATAACGACACATGATACGCCTATCCTGCGGCTAATAGGAGTCGATCGTCCTGGAATACCAGGTGTACACGTTATGATACAATTTTCCAAAATAATAGGCCAGAGGCCATCACGTTTTACAGTTTGAATAAGTTCTTCCTGTATTTTTCTACCAAGGTAGCTAGATGTTTTTATGAAAAATAACGCAGTGATAACATGCTGTTGCTTCTGTAGTTATCTTTTGTTATAAGGAGAAAATTATAGCGAGTGGATAGGCCATGCAGGTAAACTATTTTCATTGGATTGAGTGTTTATACCAGACCTGGATAAGTTATTATTTGAACGGTTCAGAAATGAGTATTTCTGGACAGCAACTAATACTTTTTTTTCACACAGTTTGTATACACACATTTAGACGTGTTTTACTGAGAAACTACTGCAATGTGTCTGGGCTGATTTGTTGGAATACGTTTACGGGGACAGTTAATATTTCACAATTCAAGCGAGCCTAGAATTTAAAACTTGTGTAAGATTTTTTAATGTATTATATGAACGATTATAAGTTTTAACAGAAGATTATTCCAACTGTTTTTATTCGGCAGAATTTAACACCAGAATATTTAAATGAATTTCACGATGTTTTTTTGTTTTTATTCTGAGCTCTGCATGAGAAGTATCAGGAAAGAGTATCCTTAAAAATACAGAAAACAAAAAGAATACATATTACTGTATACCTAATTATTTTCTGTAAATCTACTGTTTAACTGGATGTAGATATGTTATACATACTCAGCAAAAGTAATATTTTTAATTCACTGATCTTTTTTCTTTTTTAAATCCAAGATGTTTATTCAAATGTTTAACAGGAACATGTTGACGAACTAATTGGAAATCGTCAGCAATGCTTAAAGGTAAGTCATATTTTAAGTTTATTTTGTTTATTGAGGTAAGTTGATTAATCATATTAATTAATGACATATATGAACTTGGTAACAATATACACGTACTTATGAAAAATAATCACTCAATGTAACATCAATACAGAAACCCAATAAATGTTAACATTTTTGCTTCACCTTATGGATATTTCTTCCATTTTTGACTCATCAGTGTTTCTTAAGATTAAACGATTGACAATTTGTGTAAAATATTCCGAAAGATGTTTTGGGGAAAAGGCGAAAGTTTATAACGTTATACATGAATATGGGTGCCTGCAACGATTTCTTAGTTGTAAGGTTACCATTGGTAGAACTAGTGCAATATTAAATGATACTTGTAGATGAAATAGCATACATACTATACCATAGAATGTCCATGGCATTACATAAAGTGTCTCTCTTACAACTGAAAATATGGAGAGCGAAAAGTGCGAACGTTTATGATTTGTACATATGTAAAACAGACGACTCTCTACCAATGAGAGATGACATGTATAATGTAAATATAAGATTTTTGTCCCATCCAAAACCACATGATCTACTTCTTTAAAATAACATTGTACTATTTATGCTTAATTTCGTTATGACCAGTTTGCAAATATTTATCAATTAAATACTTTTTTTTCTTTTGGTGAATATGTGGTTATATGAACTTTATCTCGGTTGATATATCGTTTTTAGGTCCATATAACCACATATTCACCGAAAGAAAGTCCTTTATTGTCAGAATATATTTTAAACTATGATGATTTTATTTTGAAATAAAATAAAATAGAGCTTCATGAAATCGTGAAGAGAGAAATTTTCTGCATCAGGCAGAAGACTTTGTGACATTATAACTGAAGTGACGTCATAAGGGGAATATTAACATGCTGTTGTTTTCTTTTTAAAAAGTATCTCAGACTCAATATCATATGTCACCGAATTCCACGTGACCATGATCCAACCAATGAGGATGTAGTAATACTTTGTGTCATCTTAAATTAAATTTTATTACTCATACTTAATCAATGACTTCCCATTTTATTAGAACTCATCATAACTTGATATGACGCATACGGACGAGACTATGGGGATTTTGGAACCACAATACACAAAATGGCGTCACTGGAAGATGTACTTCATATTAGGAGTTTTAGTTGCCATGGTCACGTTCTTAGTCGTCTTGTTAGGTATCACTGCTGGTCTGAATTTAGACGACATAAGTGATACAAGTAACTACAACAAGAACAATGTTATTCAATTGAAAGACATTCTACCGAATTCATTTTTTATCATGTTCAACATTGAAATTGAAAACTCCTCTGATTTTGAGGTCAGAGATAAAATCACCGTCAAATGGGAAACAGAGTCGAGTATGATTAGATACCAACAAGAAATCGAGGTCTTGATGTTAAACCAAAGTGTCGTAACCACAGTAAGCATATTGGACGAAAGAGCCGTAGTTTCGTACAGTCTAGAAAATCAGAAAAGTTGGAAGTGCGCAGAAGACATAAAACTCTTTGATTGGTTCTCGATTTTACAGCTTCTGATGATATCTGTTGAAGCTAATTACAGCGAAAACAATTGTCCTGGGCGTATTTGGACAATTCCATACAAAGGAAAGAGAGTTTCAATATGTATTAACGGTTTTCGAATTGTTTACGTAAGGTATGGTAACCAGGTTGCTATATCTAAAGATTGGAAAGTTCCATCGCCATCATCCATCGTACTTCACATGGAAGCACCCACTTGTACGGTGAAGTATTCCGGAGTCCACACGTTCAAACATGAGCAGATTGCGACCGATTCAACCAGAAACCAATCGATAAATGGAAATAACTTTGAAAACGATGTAGTTGTTTCTAGAAATGACAAACCCATCTGTTTGTTCATACATGGACTAGGTAACCAGAATCCTAAAACTGGATTTAAAACTCTGACTAGAATGGACTATTGGGGTCACATCGAAAACAATACCCCACAGTGTGCAGCACATAGGTTTATTCAATTCAACACAGTCGACAACGGCTGGGATTCCACTGAGCTGCACCAGATGTTCTGCGAGTTTGCTACAGGCTTAAAGTTTGGAGGAAATATTTCAAACAAGATACTATTTTCCCACTCAATGGGAAACAACATCGTTGCAGCAGCACTTCACAGCAAAATATGTACATTGGACAAGACATCTAGTAAATGGTTCTCAGTGTCTGCACCCTGGCGTGGTTGCATGGTGGCAGACAGGCTGCAAAAGTTCTGCTCTAGTCAGCTTAAAGATAAAGATGGTAACGTATCACCACACATAATATCAAGAATTTTCAGACATACAAAATTCTGTTCAGACAACGGTAACACATCAGCAGGTTACACTACGTTAGGAACAGCATATAAATCCAAAACAGGCATTTCCAACACTGACTTAGTTGCCGTAGCTCGACGGTTGGTGGACGGGGCGCTTTGTGGAACCTCGCCTTGGGGAATCGGGCTGAACCTTCGTTACAGTGGGACCATGAAGTTTATACAGGTTTTTAGTAAAATGAAAACTCCGAACGATGGTATTGTGGCACTGAATAGCTGCTCTATTTTTGGAGAGAAGTTCAAAAATTCATACAAAAGCAAATTTTACAAAATGTCCGTTAATCATGTCGAGAGTTCCACGAAATTCGGCTGTTCCAAAGATCTGTGTTCGTGGTACCGATATCTGTAGTTTACTGTAAAATAAAAAGTACAACTTGTATGCATATGCAACGCTTGTTTGCGATTCCTGTACAGCATAAACTGTACCTTGGATAAGATGTCCAGTAACATTATGGTTTAACGTTTGTCGGCGCAATATAAACAAACATGATGTCATTTCTGCTACAAGAGTATGTCTACAATGATGTTCTGAATCAAGAAGTTAATTACTAATTATTGTGAATTCTAAAATGATAATTATTATAACTGAAATCCAGAAATAACCTGATATTCACTGGTATGATTTATTATTTTCAAATAAAAAATAAATAATCCCAAGATGCATGTAATTTATTTTTCACATTTGTTGAAGCCGACTGAATCTTAATTATCTGTATTCATTTATAATAAAATGAAAGGACCGTTTACATACAGTAAACATGTATTTAGTTATACTTTTAAAAAAATACGTGGACGTTAAAAATAAAATTAAAATACCAACGCAAGTCGAGCCATTTAATGGTAATAATTTTGCTGTCCACGTCTAATAGCAATGTAATATACAAACATATGATGCTTATATATATTCTACCAAGTAAAATGTAATTGAAGCGTTTTCCCCCTGTTTACTTCAGTGTCGTTACGCATATATTAAGCAAGGTAACATAGATAATCTAATTATCTAAATAAGCTGTTCTTTTGCGCGTGCTAAAATTGATCACGTGATGTCTCCATTCCACAATTACCTGTGTGTTTTTGTCATTTCCGACCTAATGAGCGATTTTGTCTTTTGAAAATGGAAATACTTAGGAAGGATTTTTTATTTTAGTTTTAGTCGTCATTTGGTCGACACACGATAAACAATTGATGCTTTTTATTTCAATCAATTCAATCCACCAATTTATCAACATCCCTTGTTTAGACACGAAATCAGCATTCGATAGATTTACAATCCCCATGTTTAAGTCACCTTTACGGTAAGTTCAGCGGATCATTCTGAACTTGAGCTGCACAGGTTTTAAGTAAATTTAGAGCGTCATTGGAAACTTTGTTTGTCCGATGGCAAATCTACAAATACATGCAAAACTAAATGCGTGGACCCTGATTCGACAAATGAAACCAATCATGCGACTCTAGTTTACATTTGCATGATAAATGTTTGAAAGACCGCTGCATATGCATGGTTTAGTGGAAAATAGTACACGCAAGCGAATGGTCTATTGTCAGATAATACATGGTCATTAACCAATACGCCGTGTCATTACATCGCAGGTGAGGTATGATTCTTGTTACTTAACAAAAGAACATAGTACATAATGAACACTTTATAATTTGGAACAAGAACAACATAATTTTTAATGACTTGGCACTCTGTCTAAAGGAGAAAAAGATGACGATAACATTTTCAAGCACATGGCATTACAGAAATAAAACATTATGTCTCAGATATTGAAGCCAGGAGCGTATACGTAACATTGATTCCGTTACATACACACAATCACACTATATATAATTAAGCAGTAGACGCTTACTCTTCTGGAACACCTGGTCTTATTTGCTTTGTATATTTTCAAGGGTCTCCGCGTTAATCTTTCTTTTGTTCAGTTTTTGCCCTCGTTTTATCGATTACGAGTTCGAATTATGGCTTTGTTGACATTATTTTTCTTCACTTTAGAAATGAGGAAATACATAAACCTTTTGCGAGGTCTAGTTATAGGTGTGTTGTTTTTCACTTAAACAAATGTGACTAAACGGAAGACAATTCAGACTTGGTTGGTATTCAATATATGAAAAGTTTCCAGGGCTGTATAAGCACCCACTTGACGTACGCTTTATTGCACAAACACTCTTTATTGTACCATTTTTGTCTATATTGAATTAAATCATCTCTAACGTAAGTATAACATTTATATATAGGATCTTACAGCTGTACTTGAGTTTCCGTTTCATATGAGATTTATGAAACGAGTCTAAGAATGTTTCAATAAATGACAAATTTGTGGCGAGTTTCATAAATTTCATATGAAATGAAAACGAGTGTAAGATCCTTTTTATCACACAATCAAGATTTGTGGCATTTATTCGTGTAAAACGACAATTATCATGCAACATTGAAATGTAAAATGCCACCATTTTGACTCCAGTGCGTAGGTCTGTGACGTCATGTACTTGTCCTAGGCGTGCCGTCACATTTTAAACAATTGAAACTTACAGGGCTGATCATATTACATGGGTTAGTACGCAAACAAATATGACATAGGTATATTCACTGGATAAATATAATCATTACATAAGTGTTATATAACACAAGATGTTGGCTATCGACCTATATCAGGCTCACGGCTCTTGAGCCCTGGGCCTGATATGGTGTAACTATTATAACGTTTTTGTGATGAACATTTATTGTGCGTTATGCATTAATGATAAACACAGCATCATATAAACGAACCATGCTTGTTGTCGTTTTCCATAATATCTACGGTCACTCTTTCACCTGCCATTGTCTACAAACCTTGATTGGACAAACGTTCGGAACGAAAAATACGACAATGCGGATGGTACATGAGATGCTTTGTCGGTAATGACGTCACAGGAAATATACTGCACCACTTTAGTAAACAATAAACTTAATTCGTAATACAACCATTATGAAACAAGTAGTTTTAACTTATATTAATCCTTCTTGTTGGCCCGAATGTTAGCGCGCGGGGGATTTAATGTAGGAGGAAACCGAGGGACCCAGAGAAAACCCGCGTGGTCGGGCAGGTGATCCCATTCCTTTTCACTTCCGATCAGTAAATCGAACCCCGGAGGCCTTCGTGAAGGGCGAGTGCGTTATGCACTGTACAACTCGACCAAAATCAGCCTATTGCCATAGTTCAAACTAACAAAAAGAAGCTATAATGCGCGGGGGAGAAGTGGGTGAGGGGAGGGGAGGGGAGGGGAGGGGAGGGGAGAGGGAAGATGTTAGAAAAAGAGCTGAGACAACAGGAAATGCCGGATGTTATGAAATGAGATCAACAGGAAATGAGATTTCCTCACAATGAGTTAAAAGAGATGTTGTTGGTTTAAATTGTAAAGGTAGGGTCAACGCCTATGGATATTTAACATTAGCGTCGGCACCCACTTGGAATTTCAAAACAAGATAAATCCAAAAAGTTATGGGTATAGGAAGCTTAATTCAGGAACAGTTAGTTTCAGAATTCATTTTATGATAAATGGGACCTCATTGACTTACAACTGTGTATATATTAAACGTGTGGTAATACAATTCCTCCTAGAGCATTTAAATGACATAATTACTATAAAATTATATCATCATCGTGCGCAACATATTCATACTGTTATTTTGATACCGAATACTACATTATTTCAAGAAAGAATTATTCTTTTTATTGAAGATTAAAGCAGAAAAGTATGTGAAATTTTATTACTAATGAGAAAATTTCCATTTTTGACACGTAAATTTAAATAGTTCTAAAACTAGTCTATTTTTCATACTTGATTAAAAGTTGACTACCAATAATATCTTTCAACATCAGGAATTTCAAAAAAAATGACAACCGGTAAATTTGTCATATAACACTTTTGATTCCAAAAAAGAAAAACAGAGCTTTCTTTCCACCTTTTCTTTAACTTGTGTTTCTTCATGACCAAAGGTCTTTGGATCTTGATATTTGGCAAGTAGGTTGTTCATGTGAATGGATTTAAGTTTTGTAAACGGTGATGACCTTGAGCTTCGTTCAAGGTCACAAACATCAAATGTGCTAAAAATATTTTTGTATGGGAAGTCGGACAAGGATATCTTTCCCTGCTTTATTTGTTAGGACTTAACGATATAAATTAATGTAATATTCCTTCATACTTTGTTTAATGAATGGCAATAAGCAAAAACAAAGAAGGAATAATAACTAGAACTGTAAGGACTAACTAATATCCCAGCTCCTATATAAACCAGAAATGTAAGCTTAAGGCTAACTAAAAGCATTGCAAAGCAATCCATAGTCTCCCACCAGTAATTATTTAAATATATATGTCACTTACATACTTCCAGTATTCCCTCTCTATGCCAAAACATACTTCCATACCAAATCTTGTTAGCAGGCCAGATGAACCAGTTTTGCTGAATCGTCCTGGTAGTTAAGGAAGAGTTGTCAAGTCAAAGATTCTTAACAAAGGATCATAACTCCTTAAAAAGGGTCTAAATGAAAAAAATACTCCCCTGATGCACGTACCCTGATGCACGACATCAGGGGGTAACTACCATATCTGTAAACATTCATTGAAATCGGCCCCATAGCTTTGGAGGAGTTGACTGGACAAGTATTTTTTCAACAAAGGGCCATTACTCCTAAAAAGGGTCAGATTGAACAAAATAATACCTGGATGCACACCATCAGGTGGTAGTTACCATATCTGAAAATTTTCGTTGAAATTCACCCCTTAGTTTTGGAGGATGTGTCCGGACAAGGATTTTTCAACAAAGGGCCATCACTATGTAAGAAAAAGGCCAGATTGAAAATATAATGCCTGGATGCACAACTGCAGCTGTTAGTTATCATATCTGGAAACTTTCGTTGAAATTGGTCCACTACTTTAGAAGGAGTTGTCCGGACAAACGTTTTATACGGACGGTCAGGTGGACGGACAAGCTGATTCCAATATCCCCCCTCCCTAACTTCTTTGGGGGAAGGATAATAAAGTGTATCATAGTTTTAATATTAAGATTATTTATTGTTTTTATATAATTGCATATCTTTGTCTATAACACAATTATAACCTTAAGTAGTTCTCCAGAGGAAAGATTACTTTGGTTGAATACATATTCATGAGTTATTACTGCTGCACATAAATTTAAAACATGCGTAAAATAATAAAGTGGTTTGGTATGATACAAAAACAGAAAATGTATTGGTATTTACCATAATAAACCTTGATAATCAAATCTTCAAGATTATGTGAAATTGGGCATTGATCATGTTTGGCATGCTAAAAATGTACTTTACCGGTTTTGATATTATATAAAAATGATTCTGTAGACAGAATACATATATGGGTAGTTTTTTAAGAAGTTTGAAATATAGACTACCATTGTAACTATATATAGGCAAGTTGACAATGTTGGTTATATCTTAAATATTGTGAAACTTTTGCATACTTTTCTTATTAAAAGTATCACTACGCTTACTTCACCTTCGCCTGTGACATTTATCTGTCATTTTGTTAGGTAACCCCCGTCACTAAACCTGGTGTTATGCAAGGAGGTCCACTACGGTTATCAGTAGCAATTATGAATAATCATTTATACAGTTATTGATAATTTTTATGTATCTACATATGGCAAAAGTGGGGCCAAATGTTGACTCCATCTTTCTATTTTATATGCGACAAATATGGACATTTTCATATACCAGCTTGTACCAACTCTCGAATTATACCAACCCTTGGGCTGATAATTGTTCAGTATATACCATAAAATGGAAACTTAACCGAAAAAATTGTATTTGAGATATTTAAATGTTATCTTGACATTTTCAATAATGTGTCCGACATCTTTTGTACAGCGTAGACTTATCGACTCTGATGATCAATAAAACATAACAATGTAAGGATTCTTAAATCACTCGACCTTCAGTCGAATACAAATCACATACTCAAGTCATTAGAATATCATTTCCCTAACACATACACCCTTGCCTGAATGCTTTAATTATATAGTTGCGGTTAAGTCCGTAGGGTCAAGGAATAAACTCGTTCGGTGTGAAACATAGCGGAGCGATATGCCTTCTCCATGGTACAATAACAAAAGATCAGTTTTAATAGGTGGTGTCGATTTCCTAACTCGATCCATCCTTAAATTCGTTTAAATGCCCTATTGCCATATGCTATGGGTGACAGGTGAACGCGTTAGAGTTAAGGTAAAGGGTCGGTGTTTAGTCTCTCAATCGACACTGGTGGTAGGGACACTCACGGATACCTGCATTAGTTGGATTATGACAAGTTTCGATAGATGAGCGAGATTTATAAAAAGTATCACATTTTGAATGGGAGAACATTAATAGGACCAAATTAACTGACAAACGGTGAGTAGAAGTATGTGTTGTTAACACCACTTTATGTAAATACCAGCAAACGAACGTCATATAACACATACATTATAATTATTTCATATATATTTAAAGATATACCTAACAGGTAGCATTTTATCAAATTACCCCATTGATCTATGCTCGTTTAATGATTAAATGAATATCAGTTTACCCTCAAATACCAATACAAGGGGACCTACTTAAATTTCTAAGGTATTGTTACTTTAATACACGTTGTATTTTATTTGTTATCGATCTTTGAATCGCATATCACAGTGGAAAAAATCTTCCGACACCCTAGTATTTTTAATCATGTTGTAGCTTTCTTAAATTTATCTCAAATATTTCTCGTGTGTTTTACTTTCAGTTCAATATAAACTTTCAGAGTATATTTTGATATTCTAATCTCTAATGAATCGCATGCTTTTTACTTTTAACTCAGCATTATTCTTGTATATATCAATTGTCTTAAAGTACCTTCATATGAGTTAATTCCAAACACACCACTTAAATGATGTTATACACTTATCAATATAATTTTCACAGTATTTGTACAAAAGCACTTGTATTAATACGTTGAAACCATTGTCACCTGTAATAAAATATGATTGTCACTTTGGATTGACATGCCTGAGATTGATAAGACAGTTATGTCAACATTTCCCCGTTATCGACAGTGTCTATTGTATCCAACGAACACTTCTCCCGTTAATCCTTTATATTACGAAACTTCTTAAACAAATCTCACTCAAACGTCAATATTGGTAATATTTACTAGTATTTAGATCAATATTTTATTATTAAGACAACACTTGATTTTATCGCTAGGTGTGTGTACTTTTGATGACATAACGAGACATTCTTTACCTTATCTATACTTTATAAGAGTGACGCCAATGTAAACTGGTACTCTCTCATTGTACCGTTCTAGAACTAAAGAAGGCCGTAAGCGTAAACCCCGCACTTGACTTTAGGAAAACACTGGATCGGCTCACGGTGAGTCAAATGTGTATATTGCTTGTAATTTGAAATATCTATTACCACGACAATTTAGTTGAGTGTTGATAGACATAATTCCGCCCTGTTTGTCATGTTTTATACAGTTGTAAGGAGATAAGGACGAGATCAAATAACTCTGAAACGTTTGTCCTTTGACTTAATCATTTAACAGAGAAACATATTGAGATGTATGTTTACCCCAAATCGAATACCAAAAGGTGTATGAGAAACCTTTAATATTTTGGAGAAGTGGGATGTATTAAAATCCAATATTATTTATACAAATCTTTAAATATATTAATAATAGAATATTATTTTAAATTTTTCCTTGCATAAACACATCTAGAGTTGGGATTATTTATTAATGGGGTATTCACTTCATATATACCACAGAACATGTCCTTCGTAGAGGGAGTGTCTTAATAAAACACCATGTTGAAAACTACAGTGCCTAGTCATAGTTTTCTACCACAAGGGGTTGAGTATACGCTGAGGAAATATTCTAGTTGTTATCATTACTTGACTTCCAGTTGTGGGATTCAGCGGCGTTTGTGAAAACAAACACGTTTATTGTGTCTTAGGTGATTGGTTAACGACATAAGCTCATGTATGTGACATTATTGTTTATCATTAGGGCTTCGTTAGGGTGATTCTGTTGAAATGTACATTTCTTAGTAAAGAATACGAAAACTTGATATTGTATATCAGGATATAGATAGTTCAGCACTCCTATTCGGGCAGGAAATCCTGAGGCTTTTTTCTCTTTAGACAAGCCTTGACAATAAATTTTTTCTGTAAAATGTATGTCCTTTTTCTCTACACACCTGTTAAGACAATTACAAGTTTCTGAATTTATAGAGAGTTACAATAATAGGTTCTTTTGCAAAACAATATGTTAAAAAGCATCGTGACCTTAGCGCAGTAAGTGAGTTTAACAAACAATTGGCCGGGATCGATTTCCTGTAGCAGAGATATTTTGTATTAAGAAGAAATTATGATAAATATCTTTCGCTACAGTAAATGGACAAGCTTCTCTAAACGAGAAAAAAAGTCGCATATATTCGATTGATATATATGTACAACATGTTCCTTGTTGTTTCCTCAGCTCCTGTTTTTTTCATGACTACCTGGTTTCATATCCAGTTTCTTGTGATGGTGGATGGTCTTTCCTGTATTTTTGGTGCATCTGTCATTCCGCTAAAACGGGAGACACATCTGTGAAGGATGGGAGAAATGCTGATCATCGATCATTATAGCTGTTATGCATTGCTAGTAAGAGGATATTAAAGGGAACAAGTTGTAACATATAATCGATTCATTTCGAACTCAAGATTTTAAATCTTTACTATTCAAATAGATATTAAATTTCTGCTTCAAACCACAAAACGATTTAAACACAGAACAATATTGTTTACAGTTAAAAACATGCAATCAAAACTTCTTTTTGTAACTTGCTGTCTATTTACATATACAAATATTGTTGTCTACAAAATCACCGACATCAAAGATTGCAAAGTGTAAATAACACAATTACCGAGAAGTGTGTTTATCTAACAACTTGTAACGGTGAAACCCTCCGTATAGAACGCCATACGTAACCTGACATTTACAAACACAGAACCACATACCAAAGTCAAAGGAGAAATTTCGTTTTATCTGCGAACCACCTAACATTATGTAAAACACGGTAGATATTAAGGTGTTACTTGAATTACAAAATGAATAAAACATGGAATGGTATTGCTTAATACCGGTATCAATTTTCCGTAAATGTATTGTATCGGAGTTTAAAATTCTATTCAAGAGTAGAAATTGTCAGTACTTGTTCTTTGGGATCCAAAGTCGCATAACATTATAACGTGAGTCACTCATGCATCAATGACGACGCAAGAAAGCCAAGTAGATTACAATCAGTCATTTTGCTATCGTTTACATGTAATACGCGCCACATATCTTCAAAGGGGGGACTTCATTCACATTCACCAGACTAAATGTACATTCCGTATCCAGATACGTATTTCTCTTCAGGTGAAAGAGCACTTCAGTTTATATTTATCAAATATTTATCTAGAGGAAACATGGACATGCAGACCACAGGAGTAGGTAGTGTACGCTAGAATCGATAACGACACGCTCGTGCACTTGATGGTTAGATTTATTGACTTTTGGAATGTTTTTAAATTGATTTTTCCTTTGAAGTGGTTCAAACGTATTTCCTTCATTTTTCATATCCCATGTAGAAAATTTGTTTGTAACCAATCCGTATACTGTTATGATCAATTGAGTTAGGATCGGAAATATGTATTAATCATATTCTTGTATGTTTTAATGGTTCAATAAGGCAATGAAGCAGACTCGATCCACTTAGTACATGTTAATGTATTAGAAAAGTCAGAAATTCGGTTGATGGTAAGAAAAAATATATACTTATACCTTAGTACCTTAGTTGCATTTCCGTTTAAGGTCTGTTTCTATTTATAACATTACTCTCATGCAGTATAAAAGTATGTGTATGCTATAATTTTCCTTTTAAAGTACGGGAGGCAATAACCAGACAGATAAATATATATTGCGTGTTTTAATTGTAATGGCATATGATGACATTACACGCAAATAAATTATGTACATTTTTAGGGCTGTATGTATGGCAATATTTCGTTTGGTATGTTCGCGGTAAAAATATTAAGAGTGGCGTTATTTATTAGGACGTATTGCATAACTGACTTGACATACAGAGGACTGGAGGGCTTTGCGAAATCGACTACCGTAATTTTTTGCGTATTGTCCGCGGTCTATACAGTTTTTTTACGTTGAACAATGCCCTTAACGGGGTATCTGATGAAGTGGACATTATGTCGAAATGGTTTAAAAAAAACAAAAAAAACTGCGTGCAATGTGATTATAATCAAATCCAAAAATAAACATCTTCAGATATTGACAAAAACATAACAAAGTTACAGACATTCTTATGATTTATCATAGAATTTATGTATGAAAGTTGGTTCATATTACTGGCACTTAATTATATCGACTTTGTGGAGTACTTGAAAATTCGATTATTTACATACATGTAGTTACATACAAAAGTAATAAGTACAGGTGAGAACAACATATATCTGACGTTAGAACTTTACGTTGTATTCCTTGTGTAAAACAAACAGTTCTTAAGTAGCCGGAGCGGGCAGCCTGCTGACGTTTTGTTCCTAAATATGATATTTTGAGAAGTGCGGGCAATTTAACGGAGCGGGCAATACACAAGATATAACAATACTCGCGAATATACTTTGGTATCTTAATTGACGATTTTACAGTATACTAGTATGTATATTATATTAACTACATCTTCAATAAGATTCATCAGTGTGGACATATGTAATATCAAAGTTTTACTTTTAACACAAACAATGTACCAATTTAACGTGTCGCGAAGTTTCAATACCGACTGGTCCATTTGTAAAAAGCTATGACAGAGTGAGCGATTTATATTGTTTACCTGTACAACAATATTACGAAATCGTATATTACTTATGTTCGATAGAGAGCGTGTACACACTGTATACACTATATTTAATACGCACATTGTGTAGGAAGTAAAACGTTGATATTGATTTAGCTACAGTTTTGATAAAGCTTTTTTTTCAATGGTTTTCTTTCTATATCTTATATATTAACCCCCTAAATTAAAAATCCACAGACTATTTTTTTTCTTCAAATTCGGTATGAATAATGGTCATTTAGATTGTTTTGTATGGACGAGTTACATCAACTATTAGGAATAATATTTTGTCTTGTTTTCTCCGATTTTCAACCTGTTCCACAATAATTGCACCAGAAATGCACTATCATGAAATTAAATAAAAAGTGTTTCATTACAAATACTAACACAAAAACAAATTTGTTTAACATAAGTAATTTTACTTTGTTTTTATCCTATGTTGATCTTGTCTGATAAGTTAAATAGCCACTTAAATCATATCTCTTAAATCATATCTTTTCCTTACAGGGTTTTGGGCAGATCTCTCGGAAGATCTCCAGGGGGCAACGAGTCCTTTTCAATCTATGTTTGCATTCAAGCATTTAGCCAATCGCTAGCTTATCGACAAGACAGCCCTAACCTGTACATCTAAGACCAACCAGCACGGCACTCGACCAAAACTGTCAAAATGATAATGGCGATCATACACGGGAAATATCTGAATTATATTTATCGATAGAAGGTGTAACAACACGATGACCGAAGCCATTGTTGAAGTGAAGTAGTGTGGAAACACAAGCGAGATATTGTCAGTGTATTCAAGGACACATACGATTTTGATGGATAAGTGTTCACTCAATTATAACTAATTTTTAAATTCCTTCTCATAATAGGCACACATCTACCAGGTACTTCACAGTTAGCGTTAATTTTGCCACATGTTGAATTCTCCTTTACACTATGTGATTAGACGCTTACGTGGTTATTGAAAAGGAAAGGTGATTATCTTACCAATATTTCTTTAATTTTGAAAGTGTATATATTGACAAAAGAACATTTGTTTAGGTATTTGTACAAACTTTCTTTGGCAAAAGATAATTATTTTGACAATGGGTTCGGACAAAGAGAACTCGGAGGTTAGAAACAGTAATTTGAATAAACCCAAGAACAACAAACGCATATCGAGTGGTAAAAAAAGGAGAGCGAGGGACAGTAATCATGTTGTTAGGCCGGTAACATTACAGGAACACCAGTCGAGAAAACAGAAGATATCGACAGAGAAAACCGGACCGGTTCGTAATGTGACCACTCTAGAAGGTTCTTCAGATTCAGAAAGTACAAACAGGGAGGCTGTAACCGGTGAACGTGAAACAACGAACGCAGGTTCATTAACAGAGAATTCAAAAAAGTTGGAAATTCATGTTGATTTGAGGCTAGATCTCTGCCAGGAGACAAACGCTTCGGTTGAAGAAGCCGAAGAAATAGTCGCAAGTGCAAATGAAAGAGACGCAGTGACATGTGATAACAGAAGAGACACAAAAAACCCAAATCGTTGTCAAACAAAGTCGATTGCTCGCAAGGATTCCTCATTAGATGTGATAAATGAGGAAAAGGAAACAAATACCTGTCAAAATGTTATTATCAGGAACGAAACTCTCAAACGGGAAATAACCTTTGACGAGCTAGTGTTAGATGATAGCGAGATATTGAGGACGAGTACTCCCACGGGTGATTCTTCTGTACGCTCTCGCGTAAGACCAAAAACTTGTTCATCAGTTGCAAAACGGAAAGGCTCATTTGGAGCATTTGGAAGACCTAAATCGTCTTTCACTCCAAGGACAGTAAAATATTCTGAAACATGTAGTCCAGCTTCGTGCTGTCAGTTTAGTGATTTTGTCAATCGTCCAGCCACTTCACGCTCATATCGTCCGTCAACGGGAAATACAAACATGTCAAATTCCCCAAGAAGAAATATGGAAACTAGGAGATCATTCAAGATAACAAAAGAAGATCTGGAACATTCTCTTCCGAAAACGAGTTTCTTTAATTGCCACGATAAGGTCCTAAAGGATGCAGGAATCGAGGTTGAGGAGGTTTCACCTCTTGGTGCAAAAAAGCGACAGTTCATGCAGCTATTACAGCAAAGAAATAAAGACAGAATAGAAAAGGATAAGGCAAGAAAAATACCTCCACCGAAAGTGTTGGGCATGCTGGAACTGTACGAACTGGAATGTAGCCAAGATGACTCAAATACTTCATCTTTAGTTAGCTTTGAAGATCAACAATCGAACAACAAAAGCAAGAAAAATGCTAAATCCAGGAAAAAGGGTGATCTTGACGAGGAAGAAATACGTGTTGATTATCAACTGCTGCTGATATACCTTAGGTATGTGAAAGCCAACCCAGCGGAATTCCTTCAGTATCACAAGAAACACGCGGCGTCAGTAAACCTTGTAAACGTCAGACAAGGAGATTCACTCGTGAAATTAGGAGGTATATTCCAGCGTGGTCGACATGGAGTTTCCACAGAGAACATTCTTGTGAAAGCCGTGCATGAAATTAGGCCACGATTCACGGATCCAGGGCAGTGGGCTAGTGCAAATAAGGAGAAAGAGCTGCTAGCTCTAACGTCCACGAAAAAGGAAAATGCCATTCCTCCAAAAACGGAACAAACCAAAAAGGAAACAGCGAGTAACCAGGAAGAACCAAAAACAGAATATGAAAGGATTAAAATCAAACTTGATGGATGGCTAAAAACAGTGACAACAGCACAACTAAATAAAGCGAAGGAGCTGGCCCTTCGGGAGTTAGGGCAGGAGGACATATCACTCTCTAGATGGTGGGTCTCGCTGAAATCATGTAACTATATAAGACAGAGAGGTCACAAAGTTTAGGCTATTGAGAAAAAATACCTCACAGAATTATAAATTATAATGGAATAGCATTATTAAGCACCTTATATTTGATGACGTACGGGAGATTGTAACGCAAGTAGTTAGATTTTGTGTTGATGATTAAACTATACATACTGTAAAAATTGGATCTTTTCGTGATGTGGGAATGTTTGCGTTATGACTCTTTAAACAAATCAGGGATTAAACATTTTCTTCTGAACTGATTGTTTAGAAATCTGTATATCCTATATATCTTTAATCTAAATAATATATTAATTTATATTTGCATTTGGATATTTTCGCGAAAATTACTGAACGTGAAAAACGCTTACATTTCCACACCGCAAACATTTCTATTTTTTATAGTAGTATGACATATATATATAAAGTTAATTTGAAAATTTTGGTAAATATGCTATTTACATCATGTTTCTTGCTCCACACTTATCGTAAATGTCCATATTTTTTATACCTCAAAACAGGGGTATTGCACAGTTCATTACCCTGTAACACGCACGATTAACTATTCCATTACGATAAAGTAAAGGTTCATGTACTTCACAATTCATAGACACATTATGTAAATGTACTTCATTCCAATCTCGGCACATGTTATCCTTATGTTTTTGCATTGTCCCAATTCATATATTTAAAAACATAATTGTATTTTTGTGTTAGGGAGGATTATACAAATGATTATGCAATTCATGCATATAGTCGGGCCTTAATGCTTTCGTAACAGGGAAGAACCGTGAACATTTTTATTTCCTCACTTAGTGATTATGATAACGTGCCAAATTAACTTGACAGCTATATATCCTGTCACACCTGATTTGATATAGAAATTGCCAGTGCTTGTCTATTTCCATATCTGGCTTCCCCAATTATAAACTTCTATACGCCTTTGATTGAATTAGGTAGATACAATTTACGTGTATTCTGTGTACAGGTACATACTGTCGTTGCTAACCGTTCTTCTCCGCTTAACATGTAGTCTGTGATAAATTGTCTTGTAAAGACATACATGTATGTGATACAGTATGTCTTACATTTCCTTCTGTGTATCTAGTTTAAAGACACATGCTGTAAAGTCTGTCTTACATTCCCGTTTGTAAGTTAGTGTAAAGGTATATGTGGTAGATTTTCTCGAAGTTACTTCTGAATGTCTTGTATAAAGGTACACGTTTTTGAGCCTGTCTTATGTTTCCTTATATGTGTCTAGTGTAAAAACACACATATAGTTGAGCTTTCCTTACATTACACTATGTGGATCTACTGTAAAGACACATACTGTATATACTGTCTTACATACAGTCTCCTCTTTGTTTCTGGTATAAAGACACACGTTGTAGAGATTGTCTTATATTCCCTTCTGTGTGGCTAGTGTTAAGACACACGCTGGAGAGCATGGTTTACGTTCCCTTCTGTGTGTGCGGTGTAAAGACACATATTTGAGAGCCCATTCTTCTTTCTGTATGTCATGTGTAAACACACCCGTTGTAAAGTCTTTCAGATGTTCTCCTCTGTGTTTCTGGTATGAAGACAGATGTTGAAAATCGTTCTAACTTTCCATTCTGCGTGTCTGACAAATGTATGTGAAGACACATGCTAGGGAGCCTGGTTTATGTTCCCGTCTGTGTGTCTGGTATTAAGTCGCACGTTTGAGAACCTGGTTTACGTTCTCTTCTGTGTATCAGATACAAAGACAAGCGTTGCAGAGGCAGTCATTATATTTGTTTCTGGTGAAAAGACACACGTTGTAGAGATTGTTGAACATTTCCTCCTGTGTGTCTAGTGTGAAGACACACGCTAGATAGTCTGTTTTATGTTCCCCTCTGTGTGTCTGGTATGAAGACGCACGTTTGAGAATCTGGCTTGCGTTCCATTCTGTGTGTCAGATGTAAAGACACAAATTGTAGAGGCTGTCTTAGATTTGCGTCTGGTGAAAAGACACACGTTGTAGGGCCTGTCTTGCATTAACTATTTATCTGTCAGTTGTAAAGACATACGTTGTAGTAAGTGATATATTAACTCTTCCATCTGTCTGATTTACCTTTCATAGTAAACATAACATACTACCCTAAGTTGAAACCTAGTAATTAGGTAGAGACCACGGCAAAGAGTTATTTTATATAGACCATCATATAGCAGACGTTCAAATATTGTATTAAGTACCATATAGCACAGTTAAACACTTCAGTCAATAAATAACAAACTTTATCATTTAGGATTCATTATTTAAACTTACACGTTTATAAACATTGCCATATTTGTTATAATTTTCAAATATGATTATTATGGTATACTTTTACAATTCATATATTTACTTAACACAGATTAAGAGACACCTTTCTATACAGATTATACTATGTATAGAAACGTGTCTGGTTTCTCGGTTAAACCTGTGCTTTTTTTTATTTGTTATCACGTTTTGAATCCACTTTGTGAACCAGTTTGAATAAATTGAGTACATTTACGAAAATTTGCATTAATTATCTAGACATAATATATGCAATTTTACCTCAATAAGGTTTAATTGGATTCAACAGCGTATATTAAAAGCAAATGTACGTGGTTCTATATATATATATATATATAGTGTGTGTGTGTGTGTGTGTGTGTGTGTGTGTATGTATTTCCAATCACGACTGATTTTATTCAAATACATTGCTATACTATTTTATTTTTTTAAAGATCTAACAATAGTTCAAATTGGATACATAATATCAATCGACTGTATCAGAATAGATAAAAACACAAACTCCTTTGTGTGATATCCTGTATAAGGTGATCGGTGTTTTTTCAACATACAAGGAGATTTTCATAATGCTGCTACTCAAACTCAAAACTCTTTCGACAGGTGACTAAGTGATTCTGCTTTGTTGACTTATGAATTATGAAAGAAACAAGCTGGAGTCTCAAAAAGGTAGTAAAAATGTAAGTGTATCTCCACTTATCGGTAAACAGCTTCAAGGAATAGTGTTATCTCTTTAAAGTAAAGAGCGTTCTCCTGAAAGTGATAAATATTTTTGTGTTTATTATAATGATTTGTATTTTGTTCTGTTGAAAGTAAGGAATTCGGTTGCATGAAATAAATTGGTTCACAAAAGAAAGGAAGTAATGTTTTGTTTATTGTTTATCTGTGTACCGTGTTAATCATAGCAGCGGGTATCCTTTGGGTATTCTAGATCGGTTAAACGGAATGAATGTCAGATCTCGTGTCTAGGAAGGAAATAATATATGGTCATGGCTTAAAGAGTAATTGCTTAAAATTATTTCATATTGATCTTTAATGCACAAATGCTGATAAAAACAGGGAAACACATATTTGACTGCCAGGTAAAATTCCCGAATAAATGCATCCTTGTTTTTTTTCTGAAAGAGCAAATACATAGATAAACATAGCAATATATAAGTGCGAATAAGAAAATGCATATTGAGCAAGGGTGCGTGTCATATACTCAAGTACGTAGGCGAACGCGAGATTATATTGATTTGGAGTTAAAACACTGATATATCCATGTATTAAGTTCAAGAGTTCAAAAAGCAATAAAGGTATTCATTATCTGAGTGCTGCACTGTTAGTTTCAGTTAAAAAAAAAAGACGTTTTAAATATGAGTATGCGCAAGATCTAATCTTCATCACGTATAATATCCTTAAAGCGATCAAAACCCAATTATATAGCGATAAAATAAAATATAAATCATATATATAACATCAAAATTACAACATTACTTGTAACTAATAAAAGACTGAACAACACACTTCTGCAAACTAAGGTGTAAATAGGAATAGGGTTTATTAGTCACCTTATCAGGATATTTGCTTTACCATCAGACGATATCTCCACTCCCTCTTAGGCTCGAGTAAGAATGCATGCACTAAGCCAAGAGTATTTGTTTTTAATTAAAGCACCGCACCCACCATATCCTTGGTTTAAAAGGGAAGTCAGGATTATAAAGCATCGTACATAAGTAATTGATGTACTGATGTCATCAATGCTAAGAGTTTCGATCAACCAATTTTCCCAAATTTAGAGTATGCACTTGTTATTCAAAAGGTTGCACTCTGCTATTTGACAGCGGATCATTCATTTCCAATAAGTGCACAAAATAAATACGTCATTACTTTTAGTAAAAGCAATACGTGCAAAGGTTGATTTATTTTATAGAAGATAATGAAAGTTTGTTATAAACTACGAATGTATTTAATTATACTTTGAGTTAGAGACAGCAGTGCACCTCTCCGGCAATATCAACAACAACACGATTCTTTAATTTGTTTGAAACTGTTCCAAATATCTACAAGAGACTCAGTTCACATACCAAGATTAAACATTCAGGGTCATTTTTATGACTAACACAAAATTACACCACCAGAAACCTAGCAGACTCTGAAACAAAGGGAAAGAGTACACCCATCCACGAAAGAGTGAAACCGAGACCATGATCCGAAACTGTAATCGTTTTCTACTTGGAACCTGGCATGGTGTTACATGTGATCATATCAATGATTTCACAAATATACCTGGGTCATTGTTCACATCACTGAGTTAAGAGAAAATGCTTTTTATTCTTTTGGTTTGGTTTATTTTACACCTTATACAAAACATCTTTTGTAAATAATACAAATCAGAACACCGACACTTTCCATCAGGAATAGAAATTATCTAAATATTATAGAAAATGATTATCTATTTCAAGTCATCCACTTCAAAAGGGGAATAACTCTTACTGCATATGGTCAATATTTTCAGTAAAAAGATGACACAAAACGAAAACAAAGTAAATAACTAAGAAAGAAATAATATGGAGTTCTCAGAATTTTCAGGTTCCTTGAATGATTACAGCAGTTCTGTAAGGAGAAATATGTATCTTAAAAGTAAACTTTAAAGTAAACAAGATTTCGACGCCAGCAAAATAATTCACAATTGTACATTTACTGAGTTTCACCTGTCTGGTGATATACAACGTGTGCGTTATTATGAGAAGTAGAGATAGATAAAATATCTCAATTCAAGAGATTTTGTAAGAATTATTTTTTTTGTATTATTTTTTAAAGTAATTTTTAACGTGCTAAATTAAACACGAACGTAATAAGACTTTTCGATCATTCTCATCGTTTTAAATCTCCTTAAATTTTACGTTGAATTTAATGTGAACTTTTCAGACTGGGTTTCAACAGTTTCATTAACTCCGACTCCTATATAATCACATTAAATTCAACGTGTCATGCTATAAGCAATTTCTGTGCTTTAAATATTATTGGTTATATATATTGTTGTTGACGTCATGGATTTATGTGTATGCCTTCTGTGACGTCATAATGACTTTGCATTATTGATGACGTCATACTTTCTTGTGTAAACAACTATGACCTCACAATGCCTGTTTTCAAAATAAACACAGTCTCCTTATGAACGGGGAATCAACCCGAAAAAGGCCTAGAGACGCTATCTGTCTTTTGTTTTATTTTTTATATTTAATTCCAACACAAGGACTTCTCAATGTTTTCTTTATATATATATATATATAGACGCTTTCATGTAGTAAAACATCAATATTTTTGCCAACGTTTGCTTTCGCATTTTAGAGGATATGCCTATTCATCATTTTCTTACATTTTAGAAAATAAATGAACGGGCCAATTTACGAACTCAAAGTAGCATTACGTCAATATTTATTTTTTTAAATGGAGTGATTTAAAATTACATTTGTAAATATCTTGAACCCAACTTCCTAGCTTACAAAGAAAAGACTGTTTTATATTCTTCTTCATACCGTCCTAACTGGTCAGTTACTAGTCGCGTACCTTTCCTCTGACCTGTAAGCATGTGTATCTCACTTAAATGAGAAATACTTCTATAATTAATACTTTGAGCAGTACAACCCTACGTCTAAATATGTATTTAAGATTTTTAAGTGGCTAATTTTGAAGACATTGTTAACCGTTAACCATACATTGACTTTCATATGAAATTACAGAAGAAGTATGCTTGTACAGACTGTTAGCGCGAAAGTAAACAAGCTGGCCCTTGGGATATATTTAGATAGCCATGGTGGCTAGTAAATGGACTCAGGTCGGTATTAAAAATAATAACCACCCTGTTTATACATTGTTTGGTGTGAAAATTCGGAAGTTCGTTGACATTGAATGTGAACATCTCGATTTTAAATATGCTCGACTATAGCAATGTAAGTGGACATTTTATTTTAACATCAAATAAGAAAATAGGAGCTGATTTTGACGATGGTTCTTAACTCAAGTATTAAATGTACTATTTCTTAATCTAAATGAGCCAAAGAAGATTATATTGCTGTATGATAGCTACCCACTGCATGTTCAAAGAGAGTAAACTCGGTGTCTAAACCCTGAATATATCTATATTTTTGTCTGGTAATGAAATGTCGATGTCTGAAAAAACAATGATCTCATTTATCGTACCAGTGTCATTGTTCTCCTCTCTAGAATACTTAATCGAAATTAACATTAAATCGATCGTTTTATCTGCGATGATAAGGTCTACACGAAACGAACTGGTACTATAGCCACAAACCAGATGCCTATATCGTCTCAAAATCATCGTATGTTTAATCTGTTCTGACATTAATTAGATATGACCATTGCGCCGTGTGGTGCTTCAGTACACTTGCACTCAGTCAGATTGAATATGTAATCAAACAGTGATGCATTCTCTACAAATGATTTGATAGAGTTTCTGAGTTTATGATTGGTATATATTACCGAAATTATGCTAACCTAAAATGCATGTTGACATTATATGCATTTCACCCAGATTTCAATGGCGGGTGTCGTCGAGGAAGCAGAAGACCCTAAGACTTTCGGAACAGTTTGTCTTATTCATCTTGTACTTTTTCAATGGTCTTTGTGTAAGTCATTTGTTTGTTATTATTTGGCCTAGTTATTATTGCTGCTGTTTTCAATCGATTTCTAGTAGGACGAAACAGCTTTATGATACAGTGCAATATTGACCAAATTTTAAATGTGCGTGTGTGTGTTTCATTCATCTTTCAATCATAAATGCCTCACATACATTTTGAATACGTCACTGCAGTATATAATATCCCGTGTACGGTCAAAATTAAGTATTTCAATCTCAGAAATCTCGTGTACAAAGTAATACGTTATTACGATCTCGAATATATCGTTTTCCCCATTTATGTGGAATTCGTCTTTTTCTCCATAGTCCTACTCTCTGTATTTAGATTCAAAGCACTGAATATCGTGTATATTTCAAACTTTTCCATGATCGAACCATTTCGACATATAGCAACACATTGCCGTCTGTATTTTAGAGATTGTCTGCTAGGTCGGTTGAGTAAGTGTAATGTCACTCAAAGGTAAGATAGCTAATTTACACATGCAAAATGTTTGGTTTTCTCAATGTAATGCTTAACTGAAAAGACTTTGCAAGTTAATATTTGGATTATATCATGAACCATATGTATATAATTATATTCAATGGAACAGTTATATATATATATATATATATATTAATAGTATAAAAGGCGTGTGATAACGAATAACATTTGAGGATCGGCATTAACTGGAAGTCTGCGGTGGTATAAACCATGACTTTATCCAAATATCGACCAGGTAATTGTAGTATAAATACCAAGGATACGTCTAAGGTATACACCAAGTGTATGTGTTAAGGCAAATCACGTTCATGTGATGATATCTAGACATGTAACATTTAATCATTAACCGATAGTAATCATATCATCCGCTTCACCCATTCTGAACCATGACTTCACAGAAGGCCCGTAAATAGCTGAAAGATATCAAAGACTCACGGTATCACTATCAATCAATGGTAAATAAACTAAGTTCTCCACGCAGAAAAAATATACTTTATTTTACATCAGAAGGACTGTAATAAAGTCAAAAAGAACAATATTGACACTTTCAGTGTAGATGTTCGGTTATTGAAAACGACGACAAAAGGGCGTAACGTATTAGGTTTATCGGTTTACACACCTTGTGCAGGAAACAAAATTATTTAAATAAAATTATTTTGATGATCAATTGATAAGTCGGGTAACACTGTGATCTCTTTGTCCATACCACAAAATTCCTTAAGATTTATGACAACGCTTTCTACGCATATACCCGCGGCGTGTTTACCTCTAAGTTATCCCATTTTTTATTAATATCTTATCTCAGAACAAATGGCATGTGTTCTCAAGATAAAAATTCTTTAAAGTTAAAAGGTGAGCAATTTCTTTGCCACTTATATTGTAGATATTGGTTGTAGTGATTGTAAAATACTTATCAATCGTTTCCTCTGCCCTTTGCTCTTACAACTTGATGTAAGCCGGGATTCCAACGGATTTATCGTCGATAGGGATAGGAGCTGTGCCCCTCTTACCTGGCATACAGCTCTGTTGACTCGCTACTTACCGTTACATTGTCGGTGGATGGGACAAATATTGATCAAAATTTAACCTTAAGTAAAGATTGTAATTTTCACGTCCGATTTTATAGATCTGAATGCTTTTATCGGAACATGTACCGGATAGAGGTTAGGTTGGTTACATTTACAGGGTACTACTGATTTAGGAACTGCTGTCATCAAAGAGAGTGTATGCGGTAGCCATAAGGTGGGTAATCTTTATGAAAATGATTTCAGAAAATATGGTTCGTTTATTGCATTCTTCTGTTTTATTATGTTAACAGTAATGTGAGTGGTATTTTTTTTAACTTTTTACAGATACTGTGTTTAAATTTTATATGAATTTGACAATAGTGTCAGTTAATATAATATCTCCTTTCAAAATCAGAGTCAATCATTAAGACATATGAACTTATGAAATGTGTATTTACATTCACTGTATTAATTGAAAGATATAAAAACCGGGTGTTTTTTTTGTGATTTTTTTTTTACTTTTTTTACATATACTCTGTTCAAAAAGTTATATACATTTGACATTATCCTTTAAATGTCAGAGTCAATCTTCAAGACATATAAACTTATGAAATGTGTATATATACATTAACTCTATTCAATGTTTGGTCATCCTTGATAGCGTATCTTTTTTATTCATTATAAGGGGCAAATGTTATAAATTAGGTGCTCTGTGACAATATAATTGTACGAAAACAATTCGTGTACAACTCTTAAGAAAAATTGTTCTCATATGCAATGGTAACAAAATGAATTCATACCTATACCAAGCATGTTTGTATAGAATGGTACAATCATAATCGTAATATTTACTATATTTCTAAGTTATAACATATAAACATCATTGTATGTACTTTCAGCAAAGCTCGTTATCCTGACGTCGATAGCACGTAGGTTTAAAGTCCTTAAAGAAATCATTTAACACACATTTAATACTGAAATGCAGAGTGTATTTTTGAAACTTGGAAGCTGAAATTGAAATTAATTATTCGACTTTCAGTTTGTTCAAAAATGAGAGGTCTCATTTAAGGTAATATGTGAAATTCCTTAAGGCCGTAAAAACCTAAACAAAAACACGTTTACGGCATGAAATACTCATAAATAAGTGCCAATGCCTATTCATGGTAAAAGCTTATAGGACTATAAGTGAGTAAGTATAACAAATGTATTTTATTAAAGGTATATAATGTCCTTAAGCACGACCACAGAAGGCATAAAAATGCGGTGTTATAGTTTATTGAAAAAATAAACCTTCAACATTGGGGAAAGTGTTAATTAGGTTCACAGACAAAGGTGAACTACTCTATATTTATGAATTTTGTTCACGTTTTATTGATCCGACCATGATTTATAGCAGGTATGCATAAATAGGTAATAATTTTCACTGTTGTAGTCCTATATTGACGATTTATCATCAGTTCTTGATATAAATTTACCATGTTTCACAATGTAGATAGGACAGATGGTACTGTTTGTTCATAACGCAAACTAATAGTGTTTCCCTGTTATACCGTTAGCCTTATTAAATATAAATAACAGAGTGTTCGTTATCATCCTACGTCAATACTGATCAGGGAGTGATCTGTGTACCAGTATCGGCCAATCAATGGCTTGGAGACAAACCGAAATTCCTTTATGATAACCCGACTCATGAACTTGATAATCTATTTCAGATGACGGGTTATTGTCGCTGAGCTGTTATGAGTATCTAGTTGATATATCCAAGATCTCTGGGTAAATATTCCTCCCAAATCTGGGTAACAGGGGTGTGGCTGTGGATTGTTAGTGAGGTCAACGGAACATAGGAACATTGTCTGGTTGATAGAAATTACGAACTTACATCAATATCAGGCATGCAAATGTGGATTTACCAAATCACTGACTTTTTAAAACTGGACTTGCATTGAGGAATCAACGATGGAATTTTCTTATCGTGTGATTTATGTTTTAGTGAGCTTATTTAACAGTTATAAGTAGTACAAAACTGTTAATTTGGAAAGAGTTTGAATCTTTATACAAAATGGCGAAATTTTGTATACACAAAATATTTGAACCAGTGATGGAAAATACTACCGAAGGAAAACATGTCCGACCCTGAGGTTTAATGAATAACAGTGTTTCTTAATGACATTTATAATGAACACAAAACCTTTAGGATTAGCTACGCTGATCTGCAGATTTTAAACGACAATTAATTTGAAAAATGAGTTTGATTCAAGAAATAGGGCATCTTTATCATGACTTCAATATTTCAAACGCTTACACTACTCTTGATGCACGTGAACAGTTACGAACGCGTCAGATCAATGCACGTGAGGATAAGCAGCTCGGAAAGTTTACAGAGGTCATAGACAAAGCCAAGGATATATGCAAACGGAGACGAGAATGGGAGGAAGATACTTTGCGGAGGCAGTTAAAAGTTTTACAGATGAAAACCCCTTCGCTAGATCGCGGTTTAAGACAAGAGACTGAGCGACTCAGACGTTACGAAACGTCGATGATGTCACGAAACAGCTCATCCGGGTTACGAATGCAATCACGGGTGACAAATTTCTCGGAGAAGGCAACGTTGTATAACCAACAGTGGCCATCCCATACTATGACACCATTGCCACCATCTTCTAGGTGTGGTCGCGGAGGAGAATCTCGTAGGACGTTCACGAGTAGTAGGGAGTCTAACAACTCCGGAAGTACCTCACGCCCTGATTATAATACAGAAAACCAGGTCAACTTCATGAAAAGAGCAGAAAATGTAACAAAGGAACTCCACAAACTCTATAGGCGACAAAAAGAGCGGAGGTCTTCAAATCAACATTTGTTAAACCTCATCAGAATTAATAACAAGGAACTTCTCATGAAAGCTAGAATATTCTTCAAAGACGAAGAGGCTACTGCTGTTTTGGAATCAATTCTTTCTGGTGATAGTTCTAAACATGTTGAACAAAACGGTGTTAAATTCCATAGGGATGCCACGTCATCATCTTATAGTGAAAATGAAAATAACGATATGATAACATCAGTGAACACATACCATGACCCTACAACAGCCATACGAAGGGATTCAACAAGGGACCCTAGCGTGATGCCATTGCGAGAGGATGTCTCTGACACTGAATCGGGACCCGTATCCTCCACTGTTGCTAACGCTTCTGATCCTGATTCCATGGTCATACGGGGTCGGACTAAATGGACAGAAATATTCAAAACACCAGAACTCTGGAAAATGTATACAGCCGATAGCAATGCAAGAAAAAACAAGAAAGATCCCGTTTCGTCACTTGTCACTATCACAGCTAGATACAGAAGGACTATGGTCAGATGAATGTTTGATTGATAGATTGCTTGCCTAAAATTTGAGAAATTCATGTCTGATTTCATGACAATCGCCCGGATGTTAACGAGGATCACATGAACGTTTGAATTTAACATGTACATGGTTCGGCAAATGTTTGAATTATTGGTGGTCAGGTGAATGTTTTAATTTCTGGTTGTCATGCCAACGTTTGGGATACATTAGCAGTCAGGAGAAATTTTGAGTAAGTGCAGGTTATATACATGTTTGAGTTATTGATTGTTAACTGAAAGACATCAAAATAATGTATTATTGATGGTCAGGTGAGTGTTCAAGTTACTAATGGTTGGCTTAAGTGTTGATGATCACGTGAAGACTTTATTAAAAGAAGACATCTAAATAATTGAGTTATTGATAAACAAGCGAATGTGTATACGGAAATTTGCTTGCGTACTTAACCTAATAATAGTGAGATGAATTTGTATATTCTGAACACATTTAGTATTGTATTGATGGTCATCGAAAGGTTTTGGGTGTCTTGCTTGCCAATGGAATGACTGACTATAGCTAACAATGACAGGGAAAACGTTGATGTATCTATAAACAGGAGAATTATTTTAATCTACGTGATAGAAGCTAGGTATATGCGTGAGCAACTGGTCTAAGGGTAACTTTGGCTACGTAAAAAGTGACATACATTTAAAAACTAACGCTGTTTTTGACAAAGGTGGGACATAGGAAATTAGTAATGGTTGCTTTTCATATGTTTTTTCCCCAAAAAAATACTCACTCTTAAATATAACATTGCGGATGTAACCGCTTCAAAACGGACATATTCTCCTTAGTCACGAATCAACTTACAGGTAAATGATGTGCATATAGCTTGCCAATGGATACGTGATCGACTTCAGATTGGATGTTTCACTTTCTGTTTGTTTTGTGGATGTTTCAGTATGTAGAGAAATTATAGGTTAGTAAGTTTGTTCATTATGCTTAACTTACACTTCCCATTTCATAACATAGAACATGACCCGTTTTACTTAAGGAGATATGATTGATATACACGTATTATCACTTTTTGTCATAAGAACAGTAGACAGTGAACGAATAGTGAATAGGACACTAGTTTCGTTTGCATTGAGAAAGAGCAGTCACATGGTCAGAGATGCAATATTAGTACAAAATCTAGTAAAAAAGTCAGCTTAAACCAAACTTTTGTCAGTCATGTCACCGCGTAAACGTTTTGAAACCCGGTATTAATAGATATTGATAAATTCTATTTTTTTCTGTTTAATCTTATTGATGTTTATTCTGGTGAAATACAACATTTTTTTCAATCAGTATTATAACTCATGTCCCAAATATCTATTAAAGTATTTTCAAATCAACTAAGTTTAAAAATTAACATATCTCATGGGAAATAAAAGAAACTACATTTGAATTTTTTTCCTTGTCATTTTATGGAGTTTTAAAGCATTACTATAGATGTATGTACATTTTGTTGAAGCTAAAGTAGCATTCGACATTAAGTTTATGCACTACAAATACTCCAATTCTATCCATGAGAAATTGGTTCATTTGTACAGTATGTAACTTTTGAGAAAGGTTTTCAGTATAATTTCCGACGGATGAAAAGCAAGATTCTGACATATAAAAACAAAACCGCAAAAAGTTGAATGCAGCTGAAATACAGTTACGTTCTTTAGGGAAACGAGGATTGAATCTAAAAACAGCTTGTGTTTTGGAAGAGGAAATATTTTTTACAAGAAAGCTAAATATTTCGAAAAAACGTCCTTTGCAATCGATCGATAACATTCATGCATTTTGATACATGTAATATAACATGTTATACTTATTCAAACCACTTAAATATAAATACGCCTAGCAATAAAAGATCATTCGAACCCTGAGAAGTCGAAAAACTCGGATACCTCGAAGTAAGATAATTGGTTTCAATAGCGTAAATCCAACATGAAAACATCGTCTTCTTCATAGTGTTCGAATTTAGTTTGTCACTTATTAATTCTTTGATACAAATAAAGCGCAAAAGTATGACATATCGCCATCCGTGTTATGAACATCTTTCACGAGTAGACTAGAATGAAATCGGTAAAAAGAATTTACGATAAAGCTTCAGACTGTAAAGTGTGCGGACTGTCAAAACCATGTTGTTCATAATAAAAAAAAAAAAAAAACTTCATCAATGTTGATCAACAGTATTCTGTACTTTTTGCGATTCCGTTTAATGATTTGTACACCCAAACAGACGACAGTGTAAACCGGAAAATTTGTCACAAAGCATGGTCATGTAGAAAAGAGTTCCACAGTAAAAATCACAACCTAGGAAGGCTTCACGGGTTCATGTTTGTACAGGAGCCAGTATGGTTTGAAAGTCGATCGAGATATTTAAGAACAATACGATATTTGCTGTTAATTACATCGAGTTGAGGAGGTGCCAGGTGCCACATTTGGCTTTAATGAATCGATGTACGATATAATCTGTTCGTGTGTGTTTTCCTTTACAGAATCAACTATGCGTACGCTCCATTACAGTGATTTGTTTTAGACTTGCGCGCGTTCATTTCCGCCTTGTATAAGAACGAGGTCGGAGACAGCGGGGTAGTTCGATTTCTAAATGTAACACTTCAGAAGTAAAACTTGACGAACTTGCAAATGCAAATGCAGACCTAAAAAGACTTTGTCAAGATCTAGACTAGCCAAAAACAACTTTTAGTCCCTAGGCCCGTCCATATTTAATAACGAATTCTCAATATGGTCCAACCGTTTAGATCGCGTTTAACGAAAGTAACTTTACGTTTTTCGGAAATAACATACTCTATTTTTGTAAGCGTTTTTATTATAAAATTACACACCTGTATTTGTTATATTGATTATGTATACCATTCACCGATTGATTATACTCATTGACTATAAAATCAACGACTGCTAGTGCTTTGTCCAAACGGCAAATTTCATACCAAATTTATGAACCCGCATAACTCGAATACTCGGATAACTCGAAGTTTTCACCCACGACCCTGTCAACCTCGAGATAACGAGGTTCGACTGTCTATTTCATAATACATGATAAATTTCACTTTCACACATACTTTCATTCTTATCCATATTGCTCTTTTTGTAAGTGGCACTTTATTTGTTGTAATGTTAACGTTATATTAGAAAGAAAGGAAATCAGATAAAGAGAAACAATAAAAACAAAGAAATGGTAAGAAATAAAGAGAGGTAAAAGGAGAAGTACATGTATTATTAAACAAAACAATGTAAAAGATAGAAATCCGATAATACAATGTAACGTGATTTAATTATGTACCTCTTTTCTAAATAATGAAAAATAAGTCAAACTTGGTTCGCTAAAGACTTTACAACTAAAACATTTTATAAACTCATTCAAGAATATTGTGTTATATTTTACATTATTATTCTTTATAAATCTACAGGGATGAATTTAATTCTTAAAATAGTATCACGGGCGTTATTGTTTTTACCTGACGAGCAGTGTTTCCAACTATGAGATATACATTTAACGTGTCGGTTTTGCCTGATGACAGATTTGCTTTCACTGAAATGTCGTGATTTACGCTCAAGATATACATTATCTTCGTGTGTGATACATGATATAAATTCCGGACTTTCGATGTATACTGTTTTCCTTTTGTAATACCATACGTGTCAGAACTTGTAACTGTATTGCGGGACATACAATGCAAGCAAAATCACCAGACAAATCAGAAATTAAAAAAAACATACTCTTACAAAATGTAAGCAAAACATTTAATTTCCCTCATATATTGTACTACCTTAACGAATCAAATATAGTAATGTTTCCTATGTTGAACCTTAAATCAAGCACTATTTTGGATATAAATATTCTATCAGTGTGCCATATATCATCATTTGATGTATATGTAAACTTTATTTATTTTACAACAATTATGAAACAAGGTATCATAACTTAAATAAATCACTCTTGTTGGCCAAGATGTTGGCGCGCTGGAGTCTTAATGTGGGAGGAAACTGGAGTACCCGGAGAAAACCCACGTGGTCGGGCAGGTGACCCCACACCTTTTCACGTCCACTCGGGAAATCAAACCCCGGCCGCCTTTGTGAAAGGCAAGTGAGCTATCCACTGCACCATGCTATCCCCTATATCATTTGATACCTTCGTTGCCATTGTTTCAATAATATGTTATTTTTAATACTATTATTACATTTGTACATTGTAGGTGTCAATTGGCACGCTCGCAATGCTCGAGTTCTTACGTTTGATATCATATCCAAGACATCCGAGAGACATAAAGAATCTGTTACAAACAAAGAGGTATCTGTTTACATGTGGTGTTTCTTGACACCTGGGCCCCTATTCATGAAACCGTTCTCATGCTCAAGCATGGATTTTGTGCTCATGTCTTATTTCTTGGTCCAGTTATAAATTATGTAAAAAATCTTATTTTGTTACAGTTTTGAAACGAAATTGAAGAAACTTGAAGCCGAATACTGTTTTCCATATTTAAATTTGACTTTTTGATCGTTGACATGATTTAGGTGCGTTACAAGAAAGCTGGCTTGAGCACAGAATCCATGCTTGAGCATGAGAACGGTTTCATGAATACGGGCCCAGATTTAAAGGCATTCAGAGTGAGTCGGAGAGGAAAAATGTTTGGAGGAATAGAGTGCCGGAGGGAGACTGAATGTGGGAGGAAGCTGAACTTATAATAGTCAGTTTTTGTGTGGAAGAGTTTATATTGGCACTGGTTGTCTGATCTAGTGAGTGTGACTTGGTGTTTTAAGTAGTTGTATTAACGTCTATGAGGTTATTTTTGATTTTGTATAACATGGTCACCCTAGCTTCATTTCGCCTGCTCTCTGTAGTGTCCGTACATATACATGTATTTGCTCTTACATTGAGGTGACAAAGCCGGTATTGTGATAATGATTGTTGGTACAGTATATCATGCCTCCCTTCTCTGTCTCTGTACCCTTTCGATGTTTTCTTTAAGATGTTTGGTGTGTGGGGACCATATTCAGTGGAGCAGTATTCTAGATTGGATCATACCATAGCTTTATATGCGTTGCCTTGGTTTCCTGACTATTAACTCTAAGCTTTCTTCCTAAGAATCCAAGCATTTTGTCGGCTTTGGAAGCGATATCGTCAATGTGTTTGTCCCAGCTCATATTATGAGAAAGGGCTACTTCAAGGTATTTAGAAAATTGGACATTTTTCAAGCGTATGGCCATTAAGGAAGTAAGATGTCTGGATAAGGGTTCTTAATCTAGATACCGAGAGAGGGGTGCATTTACTAGGGTGAACTTTTATACCCCGTGATTTTCCCCAAATGGTCAGAGAGTAGATATCGTTTGGAAGTGTGCGAGTATCATCGATAGAAAAAAAATCCGCCTATAAAGACTACAGTCATCAACAAAGAGGAGTGTTGTAGAGCTAGATCATTTATAAAGACAAGAAACAGGAGCGGTCCAAGGACTGAGCCTTGAGGACGCCACTGATTACCGGTAATGGACTTGAGCATTCACTATCAAGGATCAACTGTTGAGTATACGGGAGTTCAGGAAGGATTCAATCCACTTGTGTGTGTTACCTTGTACCCCATAGCTGTCTATAGTTTTCTGAGCAGACGCTTATGGGGGACCTCTACCGATACATCCATAGCAACGTTTAAAATCAATATCTGTAGCATTTCGCAAGGTTTGAAAAAACAACATCATGTCTATACTCCATATCTTTTATGTCGAGTATGTTATTCCAAACATGCATTACAGTAATCTATGTTTATATAATCTGTATTTTACATATCCAAGGCAGAACAATACTTCAATTCATTGTATTATACACTTAAAATCCCCACCTTGTGTCGTGTTCATATTTCATATTTACATCAACATATCTCTTATAAAAGCTGATGACGTCATCAAAAGCCTCTCATAAAACAGTGGCGTATTTCTTTAACTGTTTGAGTCGTTTATCTAACTACATGGTACGTTGCATAAGATGAAAGAACTAATGGTATCAACCTTCATATACTTACAGACATACAAGTATATTACGTGCAGTGTTCGACTTGAAATATTTCTAAATTATCACAAAAATGTTGTACTTGTATTTCGTCAGCTATAACATCTGTTTAATATGTGTATAAGCACGGAATTAGATTATCTAAGTCCGTGGTATACTATTAAGCGTGTATGTGTATGTATTGGTTGTATTTGTAGCAGGTAAAGGGACATAACTCGAATGTTAAATGCCAGGATCTCGCGCGGATCAGTCCTATTTCTTTGCAGCATAGGGTGACAGTACTTAACTCCTAACCAAAATGATAGTCCATACCATACATGTATAGGATCTTTGTATAATTCAAAATGGCCCTTTAACACTTTTCCAATATTT